ATTTCATATAAAAAATTTAAATATTTTTAAAACATTTTAAGAATTTTATTAAAATATTTTAAATAATAATAATAATAAACATAGAAAGTGATTTTTTTACAGACAATAGATGGAAGCACGAACACCTTTCGTTGGTGCTTCCATCTGTTGTTAAAATTTTAAACGAATAGTCGTAGCATTTCTCCCCGAAACAATTGCAGAGAGAAGTGACGGAGAATGACATTTCCTCGTTCTTCCAAAATTATATTTAACGATCACGAAAGAATGTGACGTCACGTAATAACAGCCAAGCGTGAGGATCGTTCGTGACACCCGAGTGTATTGTCACGAGTTAATTAGGTTGAAAGGCTAGTTTTCATTTTGCCTTTTTTTTTTCTTGGTCGACAGAGGAATGAGGAAGATGATTTTTCCTCTTATCTTTTACTTTATTTTATTTTTTTAGTCTTCAATAACGCTTAAACCCACTGGAAATTTGCATCGGAACGTGTAAAATAACATTCTAAAATAGAATGTCTGCCAACTACTTTGACCCCGTTCTTTCAAAAAATTGTTACAAATTTATGTACGGTGTTGGAATAATAATATTTGTGTTTTTTTGCATCGGAAGAGGTTATAAAATCCATATTTTTTGTTAAATTTATGGAATTATAAATTTAGTTTTTTTTACACAATTTTTAAAAATGCTGAATCGTTGTATTTTGTAGTCGATGCGTTTAGCAACACTCGATACACAATTTTGTACCTGTTTAGTGCGCGTGCTAAATCATTCTAGTACAATTTCTGTACTAAAATTGCAAGTTTTTAGAAGGTTAATCGATTATTTAGCGTCTTAGATGATGCTGTTATGGCCACGTTTATTTCACTCGATGTTTGGATCCACTTTCGTCCATGATATGTGACTTTGTTTGTTTCTATTTAAACATAGTCATAGCATTTATTCTATCGAACCTCAATTAGCCTAAGTGAAATTTAAAAAATAAGCCTTTATTCACGTTAAATGGAAACGGAAAATTCTATAAGAAATATAAATTTTTTGAAAACCAAAATTTTTTTTAATATTCTGGCACTTATTTTACTACAGAACGTATGACTTTTACTTGTTAAATCAGTTTCTTTGTCAACCTTTTCAACATAAGAGTGGCGATATCTCACGTTTAACTACAGACTCGAATTACTTAATTGCGTTTCCTAAACACTATTAAGTATTTCGTCAGAATCGAAACCTAATTAAATTAACGTACATACGAAGGTTCGGTGATAGGCTCCATTAATTATTCACGTCAATATACTCGTTCAAAGATAAACAAGGACGTCGAGAACAAGTCACTGACAGTCACCTGCAGATATCATTTTTAAAACTCTTTATAGAATATAAAAGTGGGTTGGCTAACCAGACCATTTTTTCGACCCCCCTGTCGAGTTTTTAATTTAAAAAAAAAGAGGAAAAATTTATTACGTTTCATTTAAAATGGGAGTATCGAGGCCTTGGAAAAGTGGCACGAATTACCTATTCTGATGTCATAATTAGAGTGATTTGTGATAGGAAAATATATAGTTACGGATTATAAGACTTTCTATTCTATGATAAAGTGTGATGTAATGTGTAGTGTAATGCGATTTACGTGTGTTAAATAAAAAAAATTCAAAATTAATATTAGTAACAGTTAGATATCGGTATATCGTTTAATTATTGAAAAATATCCCCATCGTGGTATAGGTATATTGTGTATAAAATGGCGAGTTAGTAAGCATACGTGGATTTTTAAGACATTTTTACACGTGTTTTTGGTTCGTATAATTGTGTTTGTGCGACTTTTTTTATGTACTCGATTAAGTATCATTTATTATTAAATATTTTGAAAATAGATGGGAAATTTCCGTATAATTAACGACAAAAATCTAACATCTATACCGAAATGGGGATATTATTCTATAAAAAACGATGAGTTTAGTGATGCATCACGTGGATTTTTAGATATTTTTACGTGTGTTTTTGGGTCGTGTAATCGTGTTTATAAGATTTTATATAAATAAAATATTTATGAATATAAATATTTCGAAGTATTTAGAAATAAACAATGATTAATCGAATATATATTCGTATATATTCGATTAATCATTATTTATTACTAAATATTTCGAAAAAAGACGGGAAATTTTCCTGTAATTAATGACAAAATTTCGATTTCGTCTGCCGAAAATGAATTTTTTAAATTGTTCTTTGTACAAAAACTTATTTTAAAATAAATCTAGAGGTGAATTACCTGTATTCGATACGTGCCTACCTACTGTGTGAAGGGGATAATATTTAAATTTCTCGACAAATTAGGTTAGGGGATAAGTGATTAGTTCGATAAACGAATGGGTGTTAGTGTCTAGAATACAGAGAGATAGCAAATTCGATAAGAAATTTATTTATTAATTCACATCTGGCAATAATAAAAATATTCACTAAATGTACGGGTGTTAAATGCGCAACCAATAAGACTAGTTCTTATATTTTGTAAACACGAGCCGATTCGAAAAACGTCACACATACGCGAGCTTATCTCGGGACGGGGGTAGTTTTCGTTCGCTCTTGCGTCACTCGATAGCCACCACTTAAAAATCGGAGTTCGGTTGAAGTAAAATGATATATATACTGTATATATATAAAAAACGCAAACTTTGTTTTGTTTTTTTAAAAAAAGTAGTTTTTATGGTCGAGAGGAAAACTTCCATCTCCGGTTTTCAAGGTCGACCGCGTCGCAAAATCGACCAATAGTGTTTTTAGTTGTAGGAAGGAAGGAAAGAATCGACTTTTAGAATCTATCGCCACGTTATTATCGTGTCTGGCTCCTAACCAGGTGAGTTTAAAATATAAGAAACTACTTAGAAACACTAAAGAAACCTCACGGTAGAAATTATCAACGGCTAAAAATCTCTTATCTCACTCGATACAGACACACTAGATTATAATTTGCTAAAAATGTATTTTCTTATTTAAATTTGCGCGTGTCAAAACGAGACCCACTACGCGTTATGGGTCACGAAACGATGAATTATTTAAACCGCGGCACCATTTAAAAATTCGTCACTTTCTACGCCAGTGGCACTCTTCACGTGATCGCTTCGTCACCAAAAATTCGTTAATTTACTTCCTTTTAGGAATATTGTTTGTCCGTTTAAAATACACGAAAGACCTTGGAAGGATCGATATATGAAATTTCCTCTCTCGCAGCATGAATTCGTGTAGAAGCATTGAAAAATAATGAATTGTGAAAAACTGATAGATTGTTAGTTTCATACAAAATTGCAACATCCAGCAACGCTAATCTATCAGAAGGTAATTGTGAAATTAAATAAAACATTTCTTTAGAAAAAGGCAATTTTTCAAAGGAAGAAAATAGAAAAAGCGCTTCCTAAAAAATGGAAAATCACCGCAAAAGAAGGAAAACTCTCTTCCTAAAAATTGATATTTTTATTTTAAAAAATCCTATTAATAATCCTCCAAGTCTAGTGAACTGTAACGAATGAACTTGAAGAGGGATTTGTAAATTAATGATTTAAAAATTTGAATTTTTATTAAATAAAGAAGGGAAAATTATTATTAAAATTACAAATGCCAGCTAACAGAGATGTTAAGTGTATTTTTAAAGCAGATATTTAATGGATCTTTCGTTAGGAGGAAGAGATAAAATAAAAACCTTTAAGCAAGTTGCTAACCTAGTAACTGTCCTTTGCACGGTTCAATAAGTAGTGCCGTGTTTATAAACAGTGCACTTGTTTCATAACTACATTTTACCGGTCGCCATGTCTCTTGCAATTGCTAGTAATTACTTAACAGGTGAGTCGTTCGAAAAAACAAGAAAAAAAATCTCGACTTTTATATATAACTCGTGTGTTTCTTTATCAATTGTGCCATTTTATATTGAGATTATAATGCCTGTGAGTCAAAAGGAGTGTCAATTGAATTTTAGAAGATAATCGTCGCGGGTTCTTTCGTAAGGACGCACGTTTATTTTATGAATAGTTCTTAAAACAAGGTTATTTATCGCGTATTTTCTGACAGGGAAACACGACAAAAGAACAAGCGATGAGGAAATTCGCGTAATTTTAAATGATGAACTGCGAAAATCGTGGAGAGGAACAACAACGGATTCTATCCGGTTCGGGAGCTTCCCCTTTTGTCTTTGGATCCAACGAAAATTCATTCTTTTAGTTATAAGAATTGAGTTTACAATACAATTCAGATTTCTATAATTAGAAGGATTCAAAGAGTTCCTTTTAGTTACAGAAACTTATAGAAATTGGAACCCTTTGCATCCCATTCAGACTTCCTTCCAGTTTCTAACAACTAACTAGAAGAAACTGAATTTTTCTAGTTACAAGAATTTGAATCCAATTTTTTGCAATTTCAAGACTTGGATTTTGAGATATCTACTCAATCGACTTTTGTATTTAAATTTTCTTGCTTAGATATAATAACAATTTTCCATTCATAGTATTACAAGTAATCCCTTCCTTATAATATCGTGAATGGAAGAAATAAAATCAGTCAGTAGAGCAAGGAAAAAAATCCATTTTACTTCGTTCCATTGATAATTCTTATAATTGAATCTTAAAAATCGCAGCCTTGATATCTAAAGGAATAAAAAAAGGTGTCTAGTAGTTATTCAGGTCGCAAGGTTAACTATCCCCGACCTATTTGTCCCCGAAGAGGGAGAATAAAAAATTATTATAAATGATTCGATGAATATCTAGTTAGTTATTAACAATAACTTATCATTCATAATTGAATCATTGTGAAAAGACCCAAATAATCGGAACAATAACGTGATTAATTAGTATCAGTGTATGACAATGACCTCCAGTCATTACCCTTGACGTGAGTTTACCCACGCTTCTATAGGTCTTTTTTATAGCTTTAATTATAGCTTTGTTTTTTCGATTTTTGTCTGATCTAGTCTATATAAATAACTAAATTTTATTAATAAAATTATATTATTTGTTTTGTTTAGATTCAGTGGATTTTGGTTCCATTTTGGAAAAGAAACAAGAACTAAAACATTTTTGGGAAAAGAAAATGATGGAAGTAGTCGCGCCGAGTATAGAAGAACAGAGACTTCCACCCGTTGTCGTTAATGGTCATTGCAAATTGAAACAAAATGGAGTAATTAAATGTCAAGAAACTGGAGTGACCGAACCGGAACTTTGTAGAAGACCTTCACCTGAAGGAGAAGAAAGTTGTGTTCTTCCCGAAACAATCAAAAACCTGCCTTTAGAAAAGCATACTTCAGTCCTTCAAGAAGAGGATTTGCAAAAGAAGAAAGAGAACAATGCTTTGGAAGAGAAAGAATTGCAAAAAACTGGAGAAAACGATGCTTTAAAAGATGAAGATTTGCAAAATAATGGCTTGCTTGATGATTTACAAAAGAAAGAGAACGTGCTGCAAGAAGATCTGAAAAACAAAGAAGAGGAGAAAGAAATGCAGAAAGAAGAATCGATAGTAGTAGAAGTGGAAGAAAAATCGAAATGTGAATCACAGGAAATTAAGGAGATTACAGAAACTAATAAGGCGGTGGAGGAAACAATGGAACACGTAACAAATAATGAACAGGAAAAGGAAAATAATCTGCCAGAAACCGAAGCAATTGACAAGGAAAAGCCAATTATTCCGGAGATAGAAATAACAACATGCGGAGAAAACCGAATAGACGATGAAGAGGAACAAATAGAGGAAGAGGAATACACAGAAAGTGTCCTCGATCGAGAAATTCGATTGCAGCGAGAAAGAGAAGAATCTCTAGCAAAAGAAAGAGAAACTGCAAAAATTCAATCGGGAATAATCGAATCACGTGCGGAAACACCTCACAAAACCTTTCATAATCAGGTGCAACCTACTGAACGTCCTTACTGCAATCAGACTACCGAGAGCAGAATCGCTTTAGAAATTAGAGAGATGAGGGAAAGAGAAGAGGAGTTGAGGAGAATGAGAGAAAATCTTAAAAACCAAACACTTGAAGTCGTAGAAAAAAAGGAAACAGTAAAAATTGTTAATATAGAAAAGGAACAACCAGTAATAGTGGAGAAGAAATCACCCGTTAGTGAAACTGTATCTTCAAACTTAGGAATGTTTAAGAAGAGGGACAAGATAAAAGTTCGACCGTTAGAGGAAGTGGAAGTCGAGGACAAACCTATTTACAGAATGAGCAAAGAATCACCCATCGAGAGAGAAATTCGTTTGCTTAAAGAACGCGAAGAAGAACTGAGAAGAGAAAAGGGTTTAAATGCACCACCCAAAAAACAAGAAACCGCAACAAAAATAATTAAGGAAAGGACCTCGGTGACAATGGCGATAGGAGGTGACACTCAACGTTTACTGGCAACCAACCGCATCCAACAAGAGATCGAAGAGCAAACGAGAAGAGAACTGGATCTTCGAGAGAATGGCCACATAAGGACTATATCTCGAGAGACGACGGAAAAGACCGCGAGTAGTCCGATTTGCAAAAGTGCCAAATTTCTTAATTACATGGGAAAAGAGAACGTGAGTAACGGACCGAAAGGTGAAGATGTGATCGATTCTAAGCCCGCATTAGAGAAAAAGATCAAAGTGGATGCAAGATTTCCATTGATTAACAGAAGAAATGTCAGTGCGGAGTCTAAAATTCAACAGGAATTATTGGAAATGAAAGCAAGAGAAGAGGAATTGAGGTAAGCGCAATTTATATATGAATCTGTTTATAATCGAAGTAAAATTTGGAGTCACTCATACAGTTTGAATGCCAGTTTAATAGAAAACGTAAATTCTGCAGTTACACATTCGTGTAAATCTATTATTATTAGGTATTGATCTTCACGTAGCATTTTTATTCGTTTTCACATTACAGCATCTCAATGTAACTTTTTTCCCCTACATACATTTCACACAATACAATTTCACATAATGGACAAGGCCTTTTATATAGAGTCTCGGGCCACTTTTTAGAGACTTCCCAGTTTATTCAAAACATAACAGTAATACGCGAAAAATGCAGTGGTATGAAGCATTTAAAGTCCCAATAAATATGATAGCACTTCTTATCTCTCTCTGAGAAGACCTAATAATGGATACTAACTTAGGAATAGTTAGGAATAGGAATAGTTGACGATTAGGAATAGGAAGAAATGCTTCAGGCATATTTAATCTTTACAATTAGCCTATATAGAAAACAACTTGAAAATATTTTTCATGACATTTTGTATAAATTAAATGAAATAATAAAAAATAATTAGAACAGTATTTCTTTTTATTACGAAAGCAACGAAATACATTAATTTTAAAAAATAAAGCGAAACGAAACTATTATTATTTTTTATTTAAGGATGATTACAGAATTCGACTTTTTAAAATTGAAAACCGATAACTGACCCGGAAGTGTTTTTCTAGATCATTTGTTTCTTTGGAATAATTCATTTATATTCTGACCACGTAACTTATAAACACTGAATGCGTCATTTAAGACCCAGACAATAGTTTAATGTCATGTTTACGGGGGTGTAAGTAATGAAAAATTGCCCCCACGTCGCATAGATATAACGTTCGATCGAATTATCATTCTGCTTGGCATTTATAATTATCACTAATTTAATAAAGACGTTTGAAATATTAAAATGTTTCCTTTTACACAGGCAACAAAGATTAAAGTTATCCGATCAATTTGTGTCCAACACCCCTGTTTTGATGAACGGAAACGAGAAAGAAAACTCTACAGAATGCACCGAAAATCGCCTTAATGAGAAGGACCAAAATAAAGTGGCTGCTGATGACGTAAGTATAAAGAGTTTAAAATTTACGAAACGGTACAACGTGGTCGCGAAGGTTAAAAGGAAACCAGTCAAAGTGAACGTCCTTCGAGAAGGAAGGCGATTGCTTCCAAAAATTATCAAGATGCCCTTCGTTTTATTATTTATAAAATTAATTTCTTTTTTCCCTCCCTAAAGGCTCCGTTAAACGGCAGAAGACGTCGAAGTGCACTGATTGCTCAATGGGAACAGAGAATTCAGAATGCCGAAGGAAAATCTTAGTTGTTCCGATTCTGTATATTTTAATGGTTGTATGCCTAAATATTAGGAATTTTTGAGAAATTATTATTGGCGAGGATTATGTACAGATGTTATAAAAGTATATTTATATCATTCATTTGTACTTGAATTGTTTAATTTTTCTTTTACTTATTACCAAATACATAGTCGGATAATGTAAATCACAAATTTAAAGAAATTATTGTCTAATGCTAATTTAAATTACTAATGTGTGAAAAGCAAAGCGAAAAATTAAACTGCATTTCTTTTTTTATAACCAATGTAGATTTTTTTCTTTTATTTTATGTACATTTTATTTACAGTTAATTATCAAGTTTAATTTTGTTAATACTGAGCAAATAGGAATGAATTATGTAAGTATTGCACCTGATCAAGTCCTTTGTTAATTAATTATTTACACGATTCCACTCCATAGATGAAAGCAACAAACATTAACAAATTCTTCAATTAAACAGTGCATGCTTTCTAAATTTTTGGTAGATTTGTCCTGATCTTCTTGTTTTTCTCTGAGAACTAGGCACAAATTCTAATTATAAAGAAAAACAAAATAAAATACAGTATTAAAGTTTACAGTAGGTAAAATTAAATCAATTACAAGAAAATGTCTTACAGCTCTACTGGAATGAAGATTAACATGGAGTAGCATAAAGAAATCCTGGTATTTGGAATGCATTACAGCCTAAAAATCACGAATTTGACACTTTAATATTTAAACAGTAATGAAAATAACAGATTACTATAAAATGGCTTACCACATAATACATATTTTCGTCAGGGGCTCTGAAATATCGATGACGATTCAAATACTTATTCTTAAGTACTTTAGATAATCCTTGATACCAAGTAATGTGCATATTAAGAAAGGCTGCCAAGTTGTTATCTATATCATCTAGTGGAACGACTGTGACTAAACTTAAGAGTTCAGAAAATTCCGCAAATTCGGAAGTTACATTCTATAAAGTTATAAATTTAGATTAAAAAAGGGATTTATAAAATTAAAAATGAAATTAAAAAATAACCTTCTCTTTGTTGCTGCTATCGTCTTTGTTACCGTAAGGTAGAAGGTTATTCCAAAGAAAATCTCTTCGGCAATGTAGAGCAGCCTTTTTCACAATGTCCTCTAGTTGCATTTTGGATGCTTTGATATGTTTGTATAAGAACTGCTGCATTAAAGTTTCTTGACTGCTGAAATATCCAAGATACATCACTTCTTCATCACACATTCCCCGAGGAGATGAAACACGTGACCTGCATATACAGTAAAATCAATATTTGTAGAAAGAAGTAGATCTATACTTTTCATTGACTTATTCTTACTTGGTATTTTCACTTGCATCTGAAAATTCACCAGAATCTTCTAACTTTGTCTTTTCTTCTGATGGATTAGATGCAGTACTACATTTACGAGACTGGGAACCAGAGGGATGACTGACTGCCAATCGAATAGGTTTGAAAGTGCCTAAATTTCGAGGGCTATTAAATAATTTCGGATATGGTTCTCGTTGACTAGTAAGTATGATGTAGTATTTCAGAAAAAGTGTGTTACTTTCAGGAATGTCATCTACTACACTTATATCATGTGTTATGAGTAAACCTACATCAAAACTTTCTACTTGACATACATCATTAGCATCGGAATAAGATACTTTGCAAGTTCTTACAGTATCTACTAAAACAAATTCTGTGTCCTATAAAAAGTTATTCATAATTAGTATCATTTTGACCTTTTTAGAAAGAATAAATAAGAACTTACCATTTCCACACCAAGTGAATGAATAATAGGAACCATCTTATGAACTGTCATAGAATATGATTTATTATGGCTAATTATATAGTTATATAACTGACAGGGGGGCAAATTTGTATCTTTTATGGCCAAAGTATCTGTTTTATGGATAAAAATATTTATCATCATCATAAAGTTTACTTATCTAATAAATATCTATTCATTAAGCCTACTAAGACACAAGAATTACTCATTTACCTGAATGAATAACATTTCTAGCACAAGAAGGAGATTTCTGATAATATTTCATAAAATCATCTAAGAAACTAGTCAAATGATATCCATTGTGAAAGATAAGATGCTGTCCAGAAATGTATGAGTAAATGGTGCGCAGATGATAATCAAATGTAAAAGAGTGTAGATGCATAACTATTTTAATTCTGTCTAGTTCATCCACAAAAGCTGTTGTAAACTATATTAACAAAGTAAAATAAATAAATACACTTTTCAATTAATGAAAATCAAATTTAATGACAAAAACATCAAACCTGAGAGCTCATGAAACGTGAATTATTAGATTTTAATCGTAAGCATTCCAGTGAATATAAATGACAAAATGCATAAGGATCACTAAATCCTACTTCAAACACTAATAATCCTCCAAGCATTGAACGAATGAGATAGTAAACAGAGAGTCCACAGTTGCTTGTTCTGGGATGAGAAAATGCACTTATGTGGGTTCCCTTACCATGTAATTTCTCATCATCTTTTGATTTTAAACTCTTACTATTAAGCACAGAAGTTTAGATATTATAAAATATCAGTTATGAATAAATATAATCAAACTATTTATTTTTTAAATACCTCTGTCTGGGTGTAGGACCCCTGGTTTGAATTGGCAAAAATCCTAATGTTTGTAAATATTGAATATATTCCTGAATATAGTGAGAACAAACAGTAAAATGCCATGCTTCTTCAGTTATCAATCTAGATGATGATCTTCCTAGATTATTGAGCAACTGATGACTACTTCCACTAGATTTCCTACTTCTTATACTACTACCACTGCTGTTTGTGTTTTCATTATTCTTGACACTATTTCCAGAACTATGGCGGGAACGCTTTAAATAATAATGTTTACTTTTATTGAAATGTTTTTAAAATTAAACATTTTCTTTGATAGAAATCAACAATTTAGATTAGTGGTTCCCAAAGTGGGTTGTGGAATTACTTTAATGGGTGCTAAGAGACAAACAGGCAGTAGTGACACTGACAATGGTCTCCTCTAAGCTCATCTTTTATTTATTTATGATTTATTATTGACAATTACTACAATTAGTTACATACTCTAGAATATGGATGTATAAACATTGAATAATTTAAAAATGGATTTTTTAAAATTTTAATTTATGTACTAAGAAGCATCTCCTTGGTTTTCCTACATCACATAGATAGTCCACAGTTAACACTGCAGATACATTCTTTGAAAATAGAGAAAAGCATTAACAGAACTTGCTATAGAAAATCTTTTTAGTATAGCCTTGAAAGTGAAGCCAAGTGTAATTGGTGCTTGTGTGTGTGTAAAGTTATTCATTCTTTTACAAGTTTGCACACTAATGAGTAACTAGTAAACACACACAATATAATTAAGTCCTAAGTGACTTCAGACCAAGCATTGAAAAATTTATTGAGTCCATTCCCCACATTAATAATTTACTAATTGTGAAAATTCAATTTGTTGTTCAAGATTCTTGCTAAATGAGTTTATCAAGAATCATGAATAATAAATTATCTTGAATCTTTAAGTTATCATTAAACTAAATTCAATTAAAAACTTTAATTAGCTATAATTAAATAAACAATTAATTGTTACACTAGGAAAAATAATTAAATTCAAAATAGTGAGTCCTGAAAACCAAAACCAAACCCTGAAAAACTTCTGAGGGGTAGATTAGGGATTGCTGAAAATGAGTATATTGAACCACGGAAGTGGTGTGAAGAAAAATTTTGGGAACCACTAATTTAGATGCCCAATTCATTAAAAAGTTTAAAATTTTAAATTAGAATCAAGCATGATTGATTTCATTATTTATTACATTTTACTTTATTTATGAATATTTCAATTGATAAATTTTTGAAATTACTTACATTGGATGTAATACCCTCTTGATTAAATGATTTTTCAAATATCTGAGAAGTTAATGGTTGCAAAGTGTGATCCCTTATGGGAGATACTTTCCATCGCCATGAAGGACTGAATAAAATTGGTGTTAAGCAATAATGTTCTAATCTTCCTACTTTTTTAAATAAATGCAAAAACCTTTCCTGATAATTCAAAGCCCAAAAAAGTATATAAATCATGTATAGTTTGAGACAAAATTAATAATCATGAAAAAATAGTACTTACCATTAATGGACTGGTTAAAGCAGAACTACGTGATTGCCATATTCTATGAACATCTTGCAAATCTTTAAAAGTTAACATAAATTACAACATATTCTTTCAAATTTTTAAAATGCAATATGCCTTTTACATTACCTCTACTTTCAGTATTATAAATATCTAGCATTTGTTTTCCATGACGCATTACTAAATCACGTAACAATCCATAACGTGTTCGATGAAGTGGTTGTGGTGGATGTGTTTCCCTAAAGATATCCAGAGATGAATTTCTATTTACTGCTAGCATTGTTGAAGATCGTTTCAGATTTGTCAAAGAACTCATCTGGTTTGATTTTTGAGGAAAATTATGATTCCTGATCAAGGCATCAATGTAATTAATTGAAGTTGTGGCATAATTCTGTGTAGAAAGCTGTATCCCCTATATTTCATTGCATTCAATAAGAATAAAATTTATTTATTTAGTAAAAAATATATACGCCTTCAGGCACACATAAAAGTAGTCAAAAAGTATAATCTATCATAAACAAAACATGTATTTGTATAATTGACAAGTAAATACAAACACGCTTGTACTGTATAAAAAAAAAATTATCATATATTAATTTTAAAAGCGTTACTGTAAAATATAAGCAATTACATGATTAACAGAAATAATTGGATTTACATTAAAAAAAAAATAACGTTAATAATCTAATAACAATAAAAAAATTACCTTCGAAATCAAATTTATTCTAGCCACGTGTTTTGNTATAAAATTATTTATAATCACCTTTGTTTTTGTGATATATAACAATAATAAGCGCTGCCTTGGAATAAACTGTAAAGTTGATAAATCTGTGGCTGTACATGGAGATGAACCTCTGGATATATTAGATGAACAGTTTCCATGAGGTGCAGATAATGGTGTAGATATTTTCATAATAGAACTTGATCTGCTGAATGTGATAGGCGATGTTGGTGTAGATTCATGTGCTTTGTAATTAGCTTGAAAATTAATTAGGTGTGGTGGGTATTTCTGATAATTCATTTGATCTAAAGAGTAATAATAAATTTTTAGCTTTATTGAATTTTATTGAGTAAACTCAAAACAAAATAGTTTCAACTCCACTATTTGAAAAATTTTATTTTTATTTTTTAATAAAATTATGACTTACTTTTAGAAACTGATTCTAAATAACTGAAAAATTCAGAACATCCCATACAAGCCTTCCACTGATTGACATTTCTACCAATCATTATATAACTTTTTGTTTTACCAGGCAATGAATTTTCATTTATTATTAATCCTTTTGAATCTGTAGGCTAAAAATATAATAATTATTATGATTTTTAATGAAAAAATCATAACAAGGTACTTAGGTGTAATCTGCTTACAAGATGCATATTCCAAGCATTATTAATAACAATAAATTCTTCACTATCAGCAGTAACTTTTTGAAATATTCTTGGATATATATCTGGAGTTAGTTCATTGATTTTGGCTTGAAATTCTTTAAGAATTATCGAAACTGGATAGCAGTTTTTCAAATAATATACGTGAGTTTTTACTGTTGGAACTTCTGTAAACAAACGTGCAAAAACATAAAAATTAAATAAATTTATATTTAAATTTTATATCACTTTATAACTCAATACTTCACAATACTTTTATCATGATTAAACAAATGAAGATATGGTAATTATCACAAATGGAATTTATTTCAAAATAAAAGTCAAAATAGTGAAAATCTGTAAAAATGTATGCATTCAGTCATGTATCTTGCAAAGACTATTCCAAAATCAATCTCCATTTGGCAGGAAAAAGTCATGTATATAAATTTTGTATATAATAGAAAGAAAATTTATTTATATCTCATCCTTTTTTTTCACATAGTTACCATACAAAGTCAGGTTGTATCATGGAATTAACTTTTGCAATCCCTCTTCAAAAAACAGCACTGCTAGGTTACCCAACCAGTTGTTGATTCCATCCATGGACTCTGGTTTCAAACCTTGAGTAGCAAGCCAGATCATCTCGCTGAAGAGATAGTAATCACTGGGTGCCAAATCTGGGCTGTAAGGGAAATGGTCAAAAATCTCCCAGTTGAACTGCTTAATTAAGTTCCTTTGGACAAAGTACAGTGTGAGACTGTATTGTCATAAAGGGAAGCAACAACCTATGTGAGTATTCAACACATTTTGTTTTGGAGTGACTTCTAAAACTTCCTCAGTGTTTGACTATAAACGTCTGGCATTATTGTTGTCCCTTGTACCATGAATTCTGTCAACAAAATTCCTTTGTGATCCCAGAAGATTGTGGGCAACAGTTTTCAGTTTGAGTGTTTGTCTGAATTTCTTGGGTCAATTTGAAGAATGAGTATGCATCTATTATTTCAACTGTTCCTTTGCCTCTGTATTCATGAACTTGTGTCTCATTCCCAGACATGATCCTGGTATAAAGGTATGCTGGATAACTGAGGTACCACATTAGCAAGAGAATCTGTATATGTAATTGGACTTATCTAAATACGAAGGTAGGCTGAAAAGTAATGCACACATGCTTGTAGAACACAAACAAAAACAAATATCAAGATCGGGCAAAAAGTACATTAAAGTACAATTCTTAAGCTTCAAAATCATATATTTATTTTTCAACACAGTCACCATTAGGGCTAACACATTTCTCCCAACGTGTAACAAGTTTTTTCATTCCGTCACTGAAAAATTCTTTTGACTTTTCTCGAATCCCGGACTTGACAGCTGCCTTCACCTCATCGTCCGAGGTGTAACGATTATTACCTTTGAGGTCTCTCTTGAGTAAAGGAAAAAAAATAAATAAAAATTGCAAGATGCAAGATTAGAGGAATAAGGAGGGCATGGAATCGGTTCAAACTTCAGGTTTCGCAGAGCCTCTCCAGTTGCGCGCTAGGTATGAGGATGAGTGTTGTCATGTTGCAAGATTATTGACGCCAGGCTGCCTCAAACACAACAAATAATCACCTTGTGCCAATAATCTTTGGTCGATGAGGTGAAGGCAGCTGTTAAGTCTGGGATTCGAGAAAAGTCAGAAGAATTTTTCAGTGATGGAATGAAAAAACTTGTTACACGTTGGGAGAAATGTATTAGCCTTAATGGTGACTGTGTTGAAAAATAAATATATGATTTTGAAGCTTAAGAATTGTACTTTAATGTGCTTTTTGCCCGATCTTGATATTTGTTTTTGTTTGTGTTCTACAAGCATGTGTGCATTACTTTTTAGCCTACCCTTGTATATTAATAAATTAGTAAGCAAAATTTTATACTGAGAAGTGATACCTTTACATTTTGAAGAAGAAAGAAAGCAATTACTATGATGACATTTTTAAATATGAAATTTTATGAAATATGAATATATATTCATAAAAATCATATTTGAAAAATTTGTAAGAAAACTAAAATTCAAATAGTGCAAGTTATTAATTAATTGTAATTCTCAACTTTTTTTACAAGTCATTTTATTTGCCAAAGTTTTACTTTATTTTGATTTCTTGCAGAATCGTTTTTTAACTTTGTGAAATCCAACTGTTTGTCACTATTTCAGTAGAGATAATCGTATCTTCAATTTTCATTGGAATACTCAACTGCAATACTTCATTTACATATTGATATCCCCAGCAGTAAGTGGACTTGTCCTATCAGCTTTATAAGCTAACTAATTTTCATTTTCACTCTTCAACAATTCAGATGGTGCAAGTTACTTATTAATTAACTGTAATTCCTGTTTGGATAAAATTACTAAAGCTCTTGATAAAACTTATTTATCTTTTTTAATAAATTCTGCAACTTACCATATACTCAAAATATCAGCTTTGCTAGGATTAAATTAGATTTTTTCTTCGTGTTTTGTATGTGTCAAAAATTTTGATCACTTACTTTATTTTAAATTGTTTAATGGCCTTATTTATTATAATTGGGTTTTTTTACCTATCTCACTGAAAAACCTACAATCTTCCTCTTGTGCATTCTCTCCATTCTTTCATTTGAATGTATCTTAAAGGACCATTTTTTATTATATTTCTCAAAATTTAAATAATTTTGATTAAAATAAAATGTAAAAACATATTATATAACTTGTAATTTTATATATTTGTATTTATTTTTATATATATCTGTTAATTTATGGGGTAGATATCAACTGTTTTTCAGGACTTTTCTATTTATTTGTAAAAATAAATAAATAATAAAATAAAATATAAATAAAATAAATTTATGTTTTTAACACAACATTTATCTACACTAATAAATAAAATACATACTAAATTATTGGGTTGCTCAGAAAGTAATTTTGTTTTTTTATTACTAGAGGAATTAGATGTATTTTTACCAGCCAATTTCATTTTAATTCAAATTTTCATTAAATACTTTGATAGCTGACATTTTAAGGCTTATTTGTAAAAAATTTTGTTTGATTCTGTACAATTGTTTTTTTCTTTCAGTGTCCCATTAAACATGGAAAATTGAAAGCATCATTTTTGGCATATTTTGCTTTTTTATTACCAAAAAATCAAAATGCTATTCAAGCAAGAAAAAACTTGTGGTACATATATGGAGAAGATGTGTTGAGAGAAAGACAGTGCAAAAAATGGTTTACAAAATTTTGTTCTCGCAATTACAATATTGAAGATGCACCATGTTCTGGATGGCCAGTTGAAGCCAATGAAAACAAAATAAAAGTACTGATTGAAGCAAACTGCCAAATAACAACATGTGAAGTCATTAAGAGATTAAATTTGTCAAATTGAACCATTTATGGTTACTTGAAATTAATTGGTTTCGTTTCAAAGCTTGATATATGGGTTCCACATGTTATTAAAGAGAGATGCTCTCTTTGGTAGGATTTTAAGGAAATTTTTTTTGAGCTTTTACCAGACAATTTAACAACTGATTCAAAAGTGTACTGCCATCGAGTAAACAAATTGAGTAATATCATCAAACAGAAAAGGCCAGAATTGATCAACAAAACAGGTGTAGTGTTTTATCACGATAATGTCAAATTTCACACAAGTTTGGTAACTCATCAGAAACTGTTATAACTTAGATGGGACCTGCTATTACAGCAACCATATTTGCCAGATCAGGCACCCTCAGATTATTACTTGTTAAAAAAAATTTGTATGGACCAGATACAAATTTTTTTAAACTGTAAGACATTTACTTGAAATGACAATCACAATGTCAAAAATCACTTGGATCAGTTTTTTGTAAGCAACAATAAAAACTTTTATGAATGTGAAATCACGCTACTACCAGAAACGATGGCAATAGGTATTTGACCAAAATGGTCAATATATAATTCAATAAAATATTTATTTATTATAAAAATATTGTGTTTTTTTCCCACAGAAAAAAATGAAATTACTTTCCGAACAACCCAATATATACAAAAGGTAATAAGATTTTATTTATTGAAATGTAAAGAGCTACTTGACATGTAGTAATCAGTTGTGCAATCTGTTTTTCTGAGTTTAATCTGGTTTCCCTAGACTTTAGTATCATTCTACATCTGTTTCCAATCTTAAAATGCTCATTCAAGCAAATCTTGATAAATCTTATTCTAAATCTCATTTGCTTTTTTCCACACAGAAAATTATATAAAAAAAATCTTGTAGCTGATAGCTGGCAATAACTTATCAGAATAGTTAAGGTTATTGCAATAGTAAGAGAATTTATGTTAAACCTTGAAAACAATTACTCAAAAATTGGCCTGTAGGCTTAATGATAGTTAATCAGTGTGTGTATAGTCTTTTCATTTATCAAAGTGTCAAGATTAACAGAGAACTGTACTGTAACCATGTCTTAAAGCTTCTCCTCAAGAAATGCACAAAGTTGTTTCACCAAGATAATGGTGCATCACACATGCAAACTTGGTTTCTTGAACTTGCTGATGATGAGAAGTTAAATCTTGAAAACATTTTGACAGTTAGAAACAACTAGCTCCTTGATTTAAGGTTTAGTGTGTATTGATAAACTTTATAATTTTAAATATTTTTAAATTCCAATAATGAAGTGTTTAATTCATTGACAAAGCATTGCTATTTTAAAATATAAAAATTTAATAATGTGAAATAGAAAAGTACATTCATATGCATATTTTTCCTAAATACATCACAAAATTTGAACAAATAACATGTCAAATCTAATTTGATATATTATTCTTTCAAATACACCAACATAGTTTAAATAAATAATGCAGTAAATTTGAATTTAATTTGTCTGCTTTATTCAAACTGATTTAATATTTTTTGATTTATCTCACTATAGTTTGATATTTCTTTATCATTTATCATTTTAATATAAAAAATTATAATTATGCATAAAAAATTACTATTCTAAATGTAGATATATTTTTATAGAAATCATTTTAATAATTAAAAATAAGCTGTCTCATTAGTTGCTAATAAATTTATTTTTACATACTCTAAAAATATATCTATAAAATGGACAAACAATATTATTAGTAAAATAAATAAACTATATTGAGTTTCTTTATATAAAGAAAAAAGAATATAAAATTACCTAGCTTTTTTCCAAATTTAAGAAATGACTTAATTGTTTTTTGATAGGTTGTCTGTAATTTGCCTTTCTCACCAGTTTCATATATATTTAAAAGATTTGAAGGACTTGTCATTTCATTTGTTTTTAATGGCAAAGGTGAAGAACTGCTTTCAGTTCTATTTGTCTGAAGAGATCTTTGAGCTTGAGGGTCAGCAAACTGCAAGTTTAAAATTTTAATTAATGCAAAGTTTAATTTATCTCTATAAATAAATATTTTTTTATATAAAATTATATAATCTGCTAAGACACAAAGAAAATGGCATTGATAATACTTATGTTTTAAAATTAAAATATCATATTACTTACTTTAAAAACAGATTCATGAGGAGATTGTACTGGAGAATTATTTGCTCCATTTGATATTGATGTAGAAAAATCAGTTCCTTTAGAAGGTATATTAATGGGTGAAAAACAATGTTCTTTACTAAAATGTTCTGTCATAACCCATCCTGTTCGACGTGCTATTAAAAAAAAAAATACATTATAAGTGAATCATCAAAATAAATATGTAATGTTAATTTTGTAAAAGATGCAAAAGTCAGCAATAAACTTACTTTTAAGAGGTGTATTTGGTTCGCTGTTGCAGTGAGATTCATCATTTTGAATAAAATCAGAAATTGGTGCAGTAATTAGTCGATATTCCATTAATAAGTCCCAAAGTGCATGTCGAACAGCTTTGCCAAGTTTGTTACATAATGAATTTACATCAACTTTGCTTGCACACCATATCTGAAATCTTATTAGAGCAATAGGACCTAAAAGTTAAAGAAGTGCATAAGTTTTTTGTTATTATTTTAAGATATTTTAATAAAGTATAAATAATTCTCCCCTTAAAAAAATATTTAGTATTTTTATTGACAAAATTTTATTATAATCAATAAAATTTTTATGTAATACATAATATGTGAACAGCATTTTAAAACTATAAATATAAATTGTTTATTTGTAATAGATTGAAAATGTTTATTCTAATTCAAAAAAATTTTATTTTTGATTTACTGAAATTATTCAAATCCATAAAAATATGACATTCAATACTAATATATTTTAAAAAATTTAATCAAAATATACATCACTACTAATAATTCCTAATGTCTATATCATGGGTAGCAAACTATGAAGCAATGTTTAATTTTGTAATTATCAGATAATATTCAGAAACCATAAATTATCATAAGTATTATTACATTAGTATTTTATAAATCATTCATATTATCTCTCAAATTATCAATTTTTAAGCTAGAATTTTCAATGACAGTAGAAATTTATTTTATTTTATGACTATGAAATGATTTCACTTATAATGCAGACAAAAGTAAAAATATAAAGCATGCTTTTTTATCCATTCTACTATACTAATTTTAAATGCTATGAAATACAATAATTATCTTTCAGTTTCTTATGCTTGTGAAATTTTTAAATTTCAAAAACATAAGAATTAAAAAATAATGCTTTAAATTAATTAATGAAGGCATAGCATCATAAAATCTGCAAAATATATATATAGAGAATATCAATGTTTTATAAATATTGAAAATTGTTGAATATAAATGTTTTTAAGTTGAATGACTTGAATTTTTGAAGCAATGCTTAAGTAGTGAAGTTTGTTTGGAACATAATGTTTTTTAGTGTTGAGTTAAATGATATGAACATAATATAGTATGATCCTCATGCAAATATCACATAAAAAGAAAGTAAAAACAAACTGAGTGAGGCATTAATAGTAGTGATGTAACGAATATTCGGTTACTATTCGATATTGGGCCTATTCAGCCTATTTTTCGCTATTCGGCCGAATACCAAAAAACAGAAGTAAAAAATAACAAAAACTCAGTAAATTAATCATTTTGCTATTTAGATTTAATGTTATCAAGTTAGTGTTGTTTGTTTATATTTATTTATAACTTATAACATGCACAAAATAAAAAAGAAAATAATATTAGTCACACGTATTCACAATTTATAATTACAAAGATCAGCACACGCACACACCTATTTGTTCGAGAATCGTCACACACATCTGAGGGTCTGATCCTTCCTATCCTTTTTTTTAAGCGCTCGTCTTTGCTCTTCGCTTTCTCTTTCCTCTATCGCTCTAGTCCATGTATGCCTATGCATACATCATAATACACACTCACGATACTTTCAATTCATCACTTTTCCGTCATGGATTTCCCATTTTATAATTATGTGAGTCAAAGCCTGGTGATAACAGAGAAAAGAGACAGATAGGACGTCGGTATAAGTCACAGTTACGATTTCACAGATTCAAGACAGCTTGGTAGCCCGAATGGCCCCAGGCTTTCACCCGTGCATGCTAAGTGACTTTCATTACAAGCATTTAGCTTTCCGTTCCAAAGCCTATCACAACAATTGTTTGATATTGACAACCATGAATTTCATGCGAATAAGCTGCCTCGAATTGTTCGATTATGTTTTCAACTCAATTTCATATTTATTTTCACATTTTCACTTTGCAATCCTTCTCTGTTCTTTTTCCGTTATTTACATGTGTAGGTCATTTCATTATTATCCACATTTGATATCATTTATGACATACAGTACTGCCATGACGCTCTTGTCTGTCCGCTACAACTGTCAAGAATTAACGTGATTGACAAAGCGTAGCTGGGCCAATAGAGAGCAGGGTCCTTGCCATAATGCGCTTTGTGCGCCAATTTTTGTACATGCGTTAATCAAGCCAAATAGTTTGGCTGAATATTCGGCTATTCGGCCACACTCCTGGCCGAATATTCGGTATTTGGCCTGAGGCCAAATATACTATTTGTTGCAACACTAATTAATAGCTTTTATTTTTGTTAGCACTTTCAATGATAACTTATGTTTATTACCTTCAGGTGAACAAAATTTAAGTAGAACACAATATTCTAATGCTACTGTTGAATTTCTTTTGTAGTACTTGCTAGAACTGGATGCAATACTATGTGTTTTACCCAACTGATCATAAAGTGTAGACAAATCATACACTGATAAAACGAAGATGAGCATCATAGAAGCTTGTACTTGAGCTTGACTTCCACAAGACATCTTCATTTGTTCCTATCAGTTTTGCAAGGAGAGATATTTCCACATTTGGAAGTGTTCCTTGTAGACACAGTGGAAATGCCTTGTACCTGAGGAAAACACACTTAGGAATGTTATGTGTCCTGAACTTCAAGAGAAATTGTAGTTGGGCATGTAGTTTCTGCTACTATTTCTTTAACCTCAATATGAAATAGAAAAGGTTTTTTGCAGTTTCCATCTTGTAACACAATACAGCTTAATTCTCTTGCATTACATTTGCATTTTTTGAGTGCATTGTTTTTTGCTTTATTTTTTGTGTGTTTGTTATATATATAACTCCTGCCTATTAACCATGGCTATAGACATCCCAATACCACAAAAGTATTAATACTAGTATCATGAGTAGTTTTAAAGTATCAATATCAATAATGGTATTGACATCAAACTTAAAGTATTGATACTGGAAATCTTGCTGACTGTCACTATTCAGTCTGTACTTGATTTTGAAATGTTTTGTTTAATTGAAAATTTTAATTTTAACATAAATAACATGCTTTATTATAGACAGCTATTATTAACAAATTATTAAAACTAATTTTCAATATAAACCAAATGTTATCAATATTGTATTAGTTGATTTGATATTTTAATATATTTTCTAGTTTTTCAATAATGTAAGATTTGGTTTCAGTTTGTGCTGAAACAGACTTTAAAATCTAAATCTGGTTTTGGTTTTGGATTCAGCTGCAAAATCCAATTTCAGTCAGATCTTACCTGCCTTTGAAAACTGTAATAATACCAGTTTGAGGAAAAGACAAGGATCAACAAGGAAAAATATCAATATCAGTATCAGTATCAGACCAAAAGTATTGAGTGCAAAAAGTACTCAGTATCAAAGGAAAGTATCAATATGGTATTGGTATCAGCAAAATTGAGATGTCTCTAACCATGGCATCCAAGTAGTGTGTGGAAGCAACAAAATCTAAGAGGAAGGCTGTAATATTGATGACTAAAGTGGGGATAAACTTATGAACCATAAAAGTGGTGCACTTGTAATAGATCTGGTGGCCATGTTTAAGATGGCAAAGTCAACAATGTGCACCATTCTTAAGAATGCAGTAAAGGCAGCAAATGTGGCTAAAGGTACGATAACAGTGATATCCAGGAGACTGCATGTTATTGAGATGGAAAAACTCCTCCTAGTGCAGAATAATGAGAATAAACTGACTGGTGAAATCATCTCTGACATGATTATTTGCAAGAAAGCAAAGCAGCTGCATAGAGTTTCCAAGAATGGGACATCACCATCCCTCACTAAAGTACAGTGATGCAATTTTCATTTTATTATACAAAATTTACGTATATTATTTATTATTTTCATTTTTTATTATTTAGGACATTTAATTGTGTTAATAGTGACATTTTTACTTTAAATTTTGTTTATTTGCTGCTTAAGTTTATCAAAATGAGTATTGTTTAGGATCCAGGAACAGATTAATTCATTTTCTATTATTTCTAATGGGGAAAATTAATTCAAACATTGAAAAATTCAGAGTTCAAACAGTCTCCTAAAACAAATTATTGATAAATTTGAAGTACAAGGTACCACTGTATCTACATTAGATAATACAGGGTAATTCAGAAGAATTATCTTATTTCAAATATTTATAGAGGTATCCCTCATATAACAGGTTCTGAAAAAGTGCCATGTTATGCAAAACCATGCTATATGAAACAAAGAACTAATACAAAATATGAGATTAGGTTCCAAAAGCTAGCAAAGTATACTATTCTTTTTTGTTCCTAAGAGAAATATGTTTATTAAAGCAATCAATAATTAACTAACAATCACAATTAAAAGTAATGTATTACATGTTAATATAAATTTTACTTAAATGAGAGTGTTTTCTTTTTACAAAGTATTGTCATCTTCTGAGCTTTTTTGTTGATCTTAATCAGAAATATCAGCAACATCTTCATTTTTTTAATTTTTATCATAAAAAATTTGTATGGATGACAAAATAAAACTATGTTATTAATCAAAAATTTGTTCTAGTGATGGTGTTTGTTCAGTCGAGTACTGAGTGACTTTTACCAGAATTTGTGTTTGAATACCAAGATACCACCATATTTCATTTGTCATTTTTATGAATGATTACTTATCTATCATTACAAAAAGTTTAATATCACCTACCTTAAAATGGTTAAACAAACTATTAAGTATGAAGATTAATCTAAAAAACAAAACACAGCGACAGTCTGAAAGCAACGACAATATCTGGTTGATAGGAAAGCTAGGGCAAGGAAGAAAAAAGTTGCACTTATCAATTTTCATTAAAGTAAACCTGATGAAAGGCACAAAAGAAACTGAAAATTTCAATACAGTGGGTGATTAGTTAACAAACATAATCCGTTCCAAGACTTTGTTCGTTATCCAAATTGTTTGTTAACCGATTATCGATTTACCATACGCTTTTATGGGAATTTGATTAATTCATTCCGGAGACTCCAAAAAATTAAAACTTTTTTACTATGTTTATTTATATGTAATAGTAAAAATACATATATATGCAGGTGTGAGATCTGTGGGATCGTTTATTTTTAATTATAAAATTTTAAAAATAATTTATTGTATAAAATATTGAGAGAAAAATTTTACAAAGAAAAGAAACTGCTGTGGCTCACTTCCTCCTGAAGGGAAGTTGAACTTCCTTTCTATCGGCAGAATTGATGATGATTCAGATGTGAGTTTTTGCACATGGTACTTGGCTGTCTGAGGAGGCCGATATAAAATGAGATTTTTCCCACCATTCTGAGAGTCCGCCATTCGAAGAGTTTTCCATACGATGTAGTGAGGTCACCATATTATTCAACGCAGTTCTCCATCATCATCATCATCAAATAATCTTTATTACTTAGCCTGATACTGCTTGGCATAATCAGGCAAGAAATTACAGAAACAATTACATTGATGTTACATGCAGATGACAATTGCAAAATAATCCGAAAACAAATGTTGGGAAAAAAGTAAAGAAAAGAGAAAATAATAAATAAATAGATATATAAAATAAAAATAAAATAAAATAAAATAAAAAAGAATAATAATAATAAAGTAAGTAGATGCAGTTAACAGTAAATGAACTAAAGTAAATAAATGCACGTATATACATTGACACAGCTGCATTACCTTACACATTTAAGTGTTACCACAGTTCATTCTAGGGTAAAAACGAAAATGTACATTATATTAAACATGCCGCATAATAGATGGTGAAATACCACAGGTTAACATATACCATTACAGGTGAAGGAACACATAATAACTTCATTGAATACGTTGGATAGTCTTTAGCCTTCACAGAATGTCTTGAGCCGCAGATAAACAATGATGCATATCAAGATGCCACTTATAGTTTAACGAATATCACTTCTAATCAGATAAAGTTTGATAAGTTCTTTGAAGAGGCCAAAATTGACTTTATTATGAACAAGGAAGTCTTGGTTTACAGGCCAGTCCATATTGTTTAGATTTACTTGCTGCCTCCAGCGGTGCCTAAAATCCTCAAGCATGGGGGCAGTTTAAAGATAGTGTAAGACACCATCTTGAATACCACAGAGATTACAGTGATCAATATCTATGAGATGAAATCTCTTAAGATATACATGAAAGCGTCTGTGTTCAGTTAAGAATTACGTCAGTTCATGACTGGGCTGCATCCATTTGTTCTGCATACGATTTTGGATTCTTGGAAAAAATCTCTTTGTAATGTGCTGATATGAGACCTTCGTCCCAATCAGCCTGCCATGCTTTGATGGCTTCGTTCCAAATGAGTGACTTGAGTTTCAACTTGGTGATGCGGTCATAAACATGATGATTGGTATGATTCAGTGTTGCATTAAGTGCCAGGTAATCTGCTCTTTCATTTCCCAGAGTGCCCTGGTGACCCCTGATCCAATTAACAGCATAACTGTTAGATGATATTGCAACCTCAGCGAAAATATCGATAGAGATGGGGTTTGTGATGTCTTTGTTTCTCAGTTTGGTCACAGTGGCACACTGTTGGTGTAGATATTTACGGGCATATTGACAAAATTGATGTTACACCATTTGATAGCCATTAATACCGCAAAGATTTCGGCTTGAAAGACAGAGCACTCTGGGTGCAGCTCAAATGTCTGATTATGGATCTCACCACTTGCATCAAAAATCACAAAGGCACTAGCTGTGCCTTCAGTAGTTTTAGAGCTGTCCATGAAACCTTCAATCCTCGTCAGTACTTCACGTGAAAGTACTTCAATCTCATACATGGAGGCATCAAAAATAGTGTCATTTATGCAGACATTTCTGCCCCTGGAGATCAGAAAACGCATGCTGCTGAAAAGAAGATAGTGCAATATGGGAAGTTTTCCAGCCACTACTGGGAGAGCTGCATTAGAGACAGTGGAATAACTCCGGGTCAGACGGATATAGGACAGTTCTCCCTAAGAAGTAGTTGCCCCAGAAAGGCCGTTCGCCATACTAATCAGTGCATAGAGGACAGAATTCACCATAAGATATAACTCAGTGCATCAAAAGAAGAAACTGCCAGATAGAATATGATGAAGACTGTTCATAGTTAATGAAAGTACCTGAAGTTAGTATAATCTAATGAGATTTATGTGAACTCTCTCTTGCGTATAGATAAGTTAGATGGCTGAATTTCCTCTCTTAAGTTAGGTTTAGAATATTATTGTTAATCCATTTTATTGTAATAGTATTTTTATTTGATTCCATTAAATATTTTGTTTTGTTATACTAAAAATATGGTCTTTTCAATGACTGAAATCCACGCCTATGTTCACTCCTCATACTTGCGTCCCTCCCACTCAAAATTCCTCGTTTACGCATGTTAATCGTAGATTAAATTGATCAACTGGTGTCAGGAATCCTGACGAAGAGAAGGTGATTACGATATCATCTCTCTCCGCCTTATTTACTTTAATTCCTAAAAAGCCCTCTGAAGAAACAGTGAACCAATCTCACTATTGTGTCAGTAAGTGACATAGAGTTAGAGTTAAACAATTCTATGCCCTTGGCTTCTAACAGTCTTGCATTTTTATTAGTCATGTTTTTTCTGTTTGTGGGGGTTAAAGAATCTGTCCAATGTTGATTGCTTTTCTCTTTTCTTCAGGATTTTTTGGAAGTAATTAATAGTATTGTAATTGTAGAGATCCCCAACCCCATTAACCTTATTCTGATTTGGATGCCACTTGGATGATCATTGTTCTGACATCCTCCCACTTCTTCAAAAGATCTTTAATAACAGATGTTGACATTAGTCCTCTTTCATCTTCCTCTTTTTCAAAAGAAAACTCATCTCACTGAGTTTCTTGGTATTCTTCATTTGAGAGTTCTTGGTTTCTATGGTAAGCGCAGTTCTTGACACTCCTTTTTTAAGGCTCCATAATATTATCAGTTTTTTTTTTTTTAAATAAAACGGTCAGAAAAGCACTTACAAAAATTCAGAGAACAGAAATCAACTAGCCCACAAAATATTATTTAAATGCAAGGCCCAGATGAAATTTAAAATTTGGTATTAAAACATTAACAAATATCTGACAGGACAGTTAAACTTTCACCTTTCATAAATAAATCCTGACACAAAACTTAACAAGTGCCTGTCCAACAGTCTTGCAAATACTATAAAAAATTATTTGTCAGAAAGGTAAACAAAAAGCTGGAATTACAAGGAAGAGTTTCAAAATTTGGAGGAATATTATACTATCCAATCGGTATCAGGTTGAGCATCAATGTTGACATCTCCTGCGCTCTGAAAGGTTTCAAATTGTTATCTGAAGACAAGGGAAAATCAATTGGTATTCGTTATTTTCTGTCACTTTTTTTAATGTTTGTTCAGTAAAGTGTTCATTATCCGATTTGTTTGCTATCCGAACTGTTCGTTAACCGATTACCCACTGTATTCTAAAATCTGTGGGCAAATTTGAGATGACATGCATGATTACTTGAAGAAAAAAATATTGAACAATGGAGTTTGTATTTAAAAATTGTGAAATTTTGTATGGAGGATTTTCCAAATTCTTGAACCATGTTAGAGCAAACCTGGAAACCATGTTGTACAGGGATATCCCCAATTTTTGAAACATGTTAGAGAAAAACCATGTTGTACAAGGGATACCTGTATTTTTAAAAATTAACAACAAAGAATGATAAGTAATATGAATGTAAAGGACAAATGTCTAAGTTTTAGATTATGAAAAATAAGTGATGCTAATGGCTCATTTATGATGCCCTTTTGGAGAAGTAAAAATGGCATCTAGTCAGTGGAAACTATTTGTTTACTACAGTTTGCACAATGTCAAATGGTAATCACTGCTCAGCATGAATTTCATAGAAAGTAATAAATAAATCCACCAATGGTTCAGAGTATTCACAGGTGGCATCAGCAGTTTGAGAAGGCAGGCTGTCTTTGTAGACAATAAGTCCAGGACAACCAGGTGTATCTGTAGAGAATGTTGAAAGAGTGAGAGACTTTTTTATGTAGCCCAAAGAAATCAATCTATTGCACAAGTTGAGAAGTGGGGGATTCCTCTTGGTGTGTGTTGAGGAAAAAATTTTATTACAAACCATACAAACTGCATAATTTGTAAGTGCTGAAGTCTTGTGATGCCAAACTTCTCCCTATATGCAAGAAGCTTTGGAGATGGAGGATTTGGACAATTTTTGCACCCAACTCTTTTTCAGTGAAGAGGTCACTTTTCATTTAAGTGTCAAAGTTAACTGTCATAACATTCACATAGAGGGCTCCAAAAATCCTCATACATGCATCTCACATGAACAGAACTCCCCAAAGTGAACATTTTTTTTGCACTCTCTGTATCAAAGATTTATGGATCATTCTTTTTTGCAGAAAAAACTGTGAGTGGCATTTCATATTTGGATATATTACAAATCTGGCTTTTCCCCAGTTGAAGAAAGATCTCTCAACTTAATTTTTCAACAAAGTAACCATCCCACCATCCCATCAACAGAGAGATTCATCATTTTCTTAACACATTTGCAATTGGATTGATCTAAGTGAACCAGATGACTTGGTGTTACACATTTGGCTTCCTAAATCTCCAGATATTATCCCATGGAACTTCTTCCTTTAAGGGTATGTGAAAAATCAAGTGTTTGTCCCACCTATGCCCACAAGTCTATGTGAACTTAAATAATGCATTACTGTTGCTTTAAAAACAGTTACCAATGATGACACATTGGAACATATTTTGGAAAAAATTTGCATATTGCCTTGACATTATACATGTGACTGAAGGAAGTCAAATTGAACATTTGTAAAAAAAAACTTAGATATTTGTCCTTTACATTCATGTATTATTTTATGTTGCTAATTTTTAAAAATAAAAAAATTTGAAATCAGATGATTCTTTCTGAATTACCCTATATATATTAGCCAAAAAATAAAAATGTAAAAATATATTCAGAATTAAATGTAATTACCAATTGTGAAAATAATACAAAAGTTACTAAGTTATGTTTTTTAATAATATGCAAAACAACAATATATAAATTATAGGCATTTATTTTTCTTAAATAAATTTCTTAGATTTTTAGACTGACCTGGACTTCTACATTCAGGATTTGGTTCATAAGGTGTAGTAAAAGTAAATTCTTCATATTCATAAGGTGCAATGCCATCTTTATAAGCAGTAGATGAAGGCAACATTGGACAGGAGATATGCTGAACAGGTCTTCCTTGGCCATCAACAACAGATACAATTACACAAGCCAATTCTAAAATAATATTAAAAAATATATTTAAAAAAATATACAAAATAAATTTTAAAATTAAATTCTGATCTGATAACTGAATCAGAAATGAAAACAAAAAGATATAATTATCAACACATATATGTGTTGATATTTATATTTACCCAAATATAAAGTGCAGTTTTTTTGTGATTTTTTGAAGAGAAAACTTGGATTGCATTTTACTTGCAAAATTTTAATCTTGGCGCCATATTTATGCCAAACCAAGATTAAAAGTACCATATTGTTGTTATATGATAGCATACAAAAGGTTATACTAAACAATAACATCTTTTAACATGAAATAAAATGTATTTAATAGTTTAACTTCAAAACTAAAAATATTTAATTAAAAAATGCTTTATGTTTGTATGCACAATGATTATCAGAAGCACTCTAGTCTGTTGTGTTAGGAGGAATTGGTCAGGCAACGTATTGAAAAAATCCAGAAGAAAGAGTGGTTATTTCCTTCATTCATTGAAAAGATTAATGATGCAAGTTTCATCAAAGTTATAATGAATTGTGAAAGACAACCCAAGAATGGAGAGGGACAAAATTTCTCAAGTGCCTAAGAGACTTTCAAGATTATATGATGCTAATTATAAGCAACAAGTTTTGTTTTATGCAAAAATCAAAGGAATTGTTTGGATGTCAAGAGACTCTGATGTTCAAATATTTATTTTTTCTCTTGGAAAAAGATCAAAATAGGAATGCACCTCATACTTAAATAAATATGGTATTTTATATACTAAAGAATGTAATAATTACTATTATTTACCAGTGGCAGTGTACTATGCCGGACCAGAGTCAAGGCATAGTAACCAAAACAAAACTAAAATTAAAAAACTGTGTCAGTACATGTGTCTGTATTCAGGAATTTCCTAACAATATGGCATGTATTCAATATAGTGGCCTTCTGTAATGTGATTTATATATTTCTATTCAATTGCAATGTGCCCAGGTTTTTGTATAGTGTGAGTGGTATCACACCTGTACAGGAGAGAACAACAGGTACAGTAAGCACCCTATCCATCCTCCACAGATGCCTTATTTCCTGGTCAAGTTCTGTGTACTTGCTAATTTTTTCAGTGCATGTGTTTTGTATATTGTATTGTTTGGAATGGATATATCTATAATGTATGTGATTTTATTGTGTTTGTCAATGAACATGATGTCTGATCTGTGTGGTAAATTGTTTTATCTCTGATTATGGCTCTGTTGTAGTACATTTTGTGCATGTTGTTTTCCAATACTGTCTGTGGAATGTATTTGTAGTATGGTTCATGGATGTCTAATAATTTGTGTTTCTTTGCAAGCTCTTGGTGTATTATATTTGCTACTTGATTATGTCTGTGTAAATAATCTGTGTGCCAAGAGCTTGCAACTGGAAGTGATGTGTTGTACAGTTTGTGACATTTTCTGCATGTTATTTGTGAATGTTGTATCTTTGAGTATGTGTTTTCTGTAGATTTTAGTACTTATGACCTGATCCTGTATAGCAGGGGTGACCAACAAGTCGATCGCAAAGCCAATTTTGGTCAATCGCTCGTGATGTCTTGACTTAATGTGTTACACTTGTAACCGAATGCAGTGTGTGAATGTAACGCGCAAACGCAACTGTAGTGATATCAGACCTCCACGTCCTCCCTCAGATACGATTTTGTCGGTCCATGTGCAATCCATTTGCGTACAGTTGTGAAGGAGGAATAAGAAATGTAGACAAAGGGTTGTAAAACTGAAAAAAAGAAAGGCGGAAAGAGGGACAGAGAGAGTAGGTCAGGACACAGTAGAGAGGGGAAGGGTAAAGTGGTGGTCCCCGAAAATGACAACGTTGAGTTTCAATTTTTCTTCTGTTTAAAATGTAAGTACCTTTTCTTCATGTTTTAAATTAAATTGTGGCTTTTCTTACCTATCTAAACATAATGTGTATTTCACACCTCTCCCTCACCACTTAGACTGTGCCCACTACAAGTCACGACACATTTTTAAGATAAAAAGTAGATCTTATGTACACAAAAGGGCTACCCCTGCTGTATGGCAATCATGAATCCTTCCGTCTCCCCAAAGAGGCATCCATGAGTTAACCACAGTTTTGTCAACAAAATCCTGGGCCAAGTCTTAGGGATGCCTGTCATGGATTGCCTTTTGAGCCCACGATTGCTTGATGATGTCTATGTTTTTTTATATGTTGTGTCGTGTCCATATGTTGTGAGAGTAAATTTAATGGTGTGTTATTTAAGTCTGCTAGAGTTACTGCTTTATGTAACTGTGATGTTTCTTGCTTTTTGTAGAAAAACTATCGCAGTGTCTGTATTTGTTTATAGTGAAGGTTAACTATGTCAATCAGGCCATGTTCGCCATCTTTACGGGGAAGGGTTAGTCTTTCTATGGAAGATTTAGGATGATGTTGCTTATACTTAGTAAGTATTGTTCTTGTTTTTGTTTGGAGCTGTTCAAGATCCATGTGAGTCCAATGTATAACTCCAAAAGAGTATATATATGAGTACTGGGATGACACATGTGTTTATTGCTTTAACTGTGTGTTTTGCATTTAACCTACTTTGGTATTCTTTAATTAATCTTTGCTTTATTTGTGTATGTTCTGTTAGTTTGGCCTGTTGGAATCCTAAATACTTGTAGAACTTGCCCTTTTCCATGGATTCAGTAACGTTTCCATTTCCAAGTGTAAAATCTTTCTTCAGGACTCCTTTTTCTATGTGAAGCATTTTGCATTTGTCTAGGCCAAACTCCATTTTTATGTTCTTAGTGTATGAGTGTGTGATTTGCAGAAGTTGATGAAGTTGTTTTTGTGCAGATGCATAAAGTTTTATGTTGTCCATCTACATGACATGTGATAGTGTAAACTGTGTTGTTTTTTCATGTCTGATATTGTAACCATATTGTGTGTTGTTTAACATGTTTGGATAATGGGTTCAGGGCTAAGCAGAACCAGAGAGGACCCAAGGAATCTCCTTGAAAAATTCTTTGCCTAATAAACATTTGGTTTGTTTGTATGGAAGTGTTATAAACCCTGAGATGCAGTGTTGTTCTCCAGTGCTGCATAGTGTTTTGGAAGAATGCAATGAATGATGGATGTATTTTGTACACATGTAGAATATGTAATAGCCAACATTTTTGTGTCGCATGCTTTTCTGTAGTCTATACATGTGTATGTTTCTGTGTTGTTTGTGTGCTTGCCGTAGAATGACTGAATCTATGAGTAACTGTTCTTTTGCATCCCTTGTGATTTCTACGGCAACCTTTTTGTTGTTCTGTAAGAATGTCATGTTCTTCAACATGTTTGTATATTTTGTTTGCAATACAGGATGACAATAATTTGTAGAGTGTTTGGAGACATATGATTGGTCTGCATTGTGTGGGGTCTGGGTTATTATTGTTTTTAGATTTCATGAAGGTGATGCCCTGAGTAAGAAATTTTGGCATGTCTTGTGAGTTGATGATGACATGTGTTAATGTTTAGCTAGTTCCTGGTGCAGTGATGTAAATTTTTTGTACCAGAAATTGTGAATGTTGTCTACACCAGGTGTCTCCCAGTTGTGTGTTCTGTTAACAGTGTAGCAGATGTCATGTACATTTATTTCAGCACAGGGCATAGTTGGTATGTTGTGCAAGTTTTTGTTCTTCTCCTTGATCCAGCCTGCATCAGCATTGTGTGTGACAGCACTGGACCAAAGAGAAGACCAGTATGTTGTGCGTTCTTCTGTTGGTGTGCCACTGTGCTGTGTATCAGTGTTTGTTTTGATACCAATTTGTCTGTAAAACAGTTTTTCATTGTTTGTACATAATTTATTTTGTTGTTTTTGTAGTGTACATGTTTTGTATCGTCTGAGTCTACGTGCTTTGGCTGAGTTTTTGTTTTAGTGTATCAATGTATTCTGTAATGTGTGTGTTGTGATGTTCGTGTTTTGTGTGAGTTTTAATTTTCTTGAAAATGTTTTTGAGTTGTTTCTTTAATTTGGGTGTTAGGTTGTTTTTAGTGTATTGTGTCAGCCTGCATAATTGGTGTCTAATGTCAATTATTTGTGTTTCTATTCTTCTCTGCTAGGCAGGCTTGTGATAGAATTGTGTTTTCTGTGTACCTGTCTATGATTGTATTTTCAGTCCATGGTGTATCACTACTGTGACTGCCCCAGCATAAACTAATGTATAAATGTCTGAGAGTGTAGAAATTAAATGAATGTAGTATGGTAGTAAGTGAGTGTTTACATAATTTAGCGTTTTTTGGTATTCATGGTCTTTGTATGGGATCTGTGCCTGTATATTTAGTGAGTATTTCCTGAAATATAAGTGAGAGTATATTAACCAAATCTATGTCTATGTTATCAGTGGTGGATGAGAAAGTGTCTGTAGTATCATTAATAATAGTTGTTGTATGTGTGCTATTATCAATGCTTGTTGGTGGATTATCCTGACAGGTACTGTCGACCCCCCTATAACACGATAGATACGTTCAGTTCTTTATGAATCAATTTTGTACGAGTCCTTGCCAATCACAGCCCGACACGTGTGAAGTTTACGGACTACGGCTGTTTGAAAGGTTTTCTTCCATAAAATTAATCGATTCTAGACTAATTTGACTCAACATTTCCAAAATATGTATAATTTTTTTGGGAATAATCCGTATAAACTATGCTATAAACAAAAAATTGTAGGATTACTTACCGAGTGTGCACCGTTCGACGTCGCCATTGCTCAAGCTTGTTTTCGTCATGGAGCGGTGCACCAAACGGTGGGTGATTTCTAATAAGTTATTTTTCTGCGAAAACTTCATTGAACTTTGGAGACATCATTAATATAAATAATTTTTATGGCCGTTGAATAAGAAATGTTTCTTTCACAAGAAATGTATAAAATTACAGTACTGTATTAGACTTACGGTACCTAATTTACATACTGTACAGACGATAGTAAACTCAACTTACTCGCCTAAACTCTCCGTAGCGTGGCGCTGGACGGCGGAAAGTAGTTCGGCTGCCCGATGACGTTTTACCGAATTATAGGAGTTTTTTTACCAGGTTTGTATGGATACCGTCGCAATTTTTTTGCCATCTTATAGGAATCATAATTATAGGAACCCGTGTTATAGGGGGGTCTACTGTAATGTGATCTTCATTAATGTTAAATGTTTCTGTCTGTTGATGTATTTGATCAGCAACCTGTTGTTTGATAAGTTCAAGTGTTGTTTGTGAGATAAGGTTGTTGTATATAATTGTTCTTTTTTGATCAACAACCCTTTGTTCAGTGACAGTGAGGTGAAGATATTGTTGTGTGAATCTATGGTGTAGTTGTTGTCTGTATGCTGTCATGTTTGTTTCAAGTTTTGTGATGGTGTAGTAAGTACAGATGATGAACTTGTTCATTTCTATTGTCCATTTCATCCATTGGCATGGTTTTCTAGCCTTTGTAGTCTGTGGGTGTATTGCCACAGAAGCATCAAGGCTAGGTTGGTTCCTCACATCTGTTGAGGGCATTGCAATAGCCATGCTTGGGCCAGTGCTGCTTTTATCACCAGTAACCAAGGGAGACTGTGGCCTATTTTTCGAACGTGAGCCTCTGCCTAACCGACGAACGCGGACCTTGTTAACCCAGGTGATGTCTGAGCCAGTAACATACTTTGATCTGGTTACTACCATGATAAATATCTCCACAGAATGTGGGTGTGGTCACTCTTAGCTTCATTTATCTCCAAAGACCTTACTGGCATGGGTGTCCCTACCAGGAGTTTGTGCTCCAGCCTGCATTGCCCTATGGATCAGTAAAATTACTGGGCTCTCTCACTACGACCAGATGGTGACCATGGGAAAGTAACTGAGTAATTATTATTATTATCATTATTATTTAAGTTCAAGTTCTTGCTTAAATATTTTAGGACTTGTCATAACCACTCATGAGGTTTATTACTATAAAATGGTAATAGGAAGCATTTGAATTAGGAGCCCATAATATTTATTTATGGGCTCCCAATTCAAATGCTTTTGTAATTTATGACAGTTACTTATAATCATAAAGAAATGGAATCACAATCCAATGTTTATACAGATGTATTATCACTTTATCTGTATAAGGATTAAAAGTATGAATGACAGAAAAAGTTTTTAAAAAGTGAATTTCATACTTTTTATGCAGTGTTCAATTTTATATGTAGTGTTATCATAATATACAGTAAATAATGATCTTAGCAGAAGCTATGCTTCAAAAAATGTTTAAACAAGTGGACTTCTAATAAAAACAATTTAGTATATTTTAAATATTTTATTGCCACTATTTACTTCTCTCTCTTAAACAGTAGGTTTTTTTTCCCTTATACTTTTATGCTGTCTTTCAAAAAAATCTCAAAAAATTATTTAAAATAGGCTTCACTATCCACAATAGTCAGCATTAATTTCAATAGTTAAAAAATAAATATTATGGAGATAGAAGCTTAGATAAATTACATTATAATAAGTGCATTAAAGTATAAAATATATTTTGTATACTGCTTTATAGCTATGCTTGAATATTTGTTAAATATATCAATATTAAAATAAATATATGTCCTATAACATACAGATATTACTGAAAATATATAATGGTTAAAATTCTTATATATGAAATAATATATATAACTAACAAATTAAAAAAATATTTGAAATAAATATAGTTACCTTTGTTTCCTGACACACCTGAACTTTGATAAAGAAAATGTAAAAAAACATCATCATCACTAAATGATGTTTGCGACAGATCATCAGGATAAGGCTACAATTGAAATAAAAAATTTAAATTTATGCTTTATTTATGTAAAAATTATCTAGTTTCATTTTTCAAGTACAGTAATATTCATCACAATAAAAAATTTATTAGTCATTGATCAACTTTTCAATTTAAGTAAATTTAATTCATGAATAAAATTTTAAAATATTATTAAAAATGGATCTTCAACACTGCTTGTTAAGGTAAACTATTCTATTTATGAAAAAAACATTTATTTAAACCATTTTCAGTTTTACAATTTGTTACAATGAACATATGAACATAATATAGGATTTAAAATAATTTAAAAATAAACAAACCAAAAAAATTGAACAAAACACCAATTTTAAACTTTTTAAGAAATTATTAAAAATTTTTAGTAATTTTTTTTTAAATTAGGAATTTTAGAAAACTAAAATAAGTTTAAACAATGGATAAATTTTGAGCAAGATCTGGCAGCATGTGTTAATATAAATGTAAGAGTCCATTAAAGAAAACCATTATTTAACACTGTTACACAATATTTTGGCTTTTCTTGCATTAATGAAAGTACAGAAAAAGTCACACAGTGTGTTTTTATACTGTATAACCCTTTTTATAACTTTTACACTTAATTTTATTTTTTCAAATAATTTTTTAAAGCATATTTTTCATTTTTAATCTTTTATTTTCATTTTATATTATTANAAATTTTAAATTTCTTCATAGCGCATCTAAAACATGTTTGTAGATTGTTATTATACTTTACAATTGTTTAAAATTTCTAGTAATTTCAACAGGAAATTTTATTTATTAAGTTTTATATATAAAGTCAGCAGTTTCTATGACACGTAGTAATACCTGTTAGAATGATAAACAAAATATTCTTCGCATGCGTATTGTCGACGTAACACATGATTACAAAGTCCCCTTTTGACAGATGATTTTTTGAAATGTATTCAAGGATATTAATGTATGTGTATACTTAGTGGATAAATATATCTTAATTTTAAACTTAAAATTATATTAAATTTAAAATTAGCTCAACGTAATTCTATTTAATATAGTATATGTACAATTTTATAGCACATATAGAAGAAACAAATGTTTCAAATTCTTCCAATTGAATTTATAATGGTGACATCTGGTGACAAATATATTAACCCCTTTGCGTGCCGAACTTTCTTGCAATGATAAGGGGTTTTACTGTACATCGCTAGTGCCGGGCGTACTTTCATTATTTACTCGGTGTACATACGTGATAATTTTTACTGATATCTTGGTGTCTATTCAATATTTTTGAATGAAATTTTTTGTTAATGTATGTAACATAATTTTGTATCCATGTGAGTGCTAGATTATGTTTAATTTAAATATTAAATTTCTTTACTTACACGAAAATGATGTTCTGGTTTATTATCTTTATATTTTGGAGTATGAAGAAAGTGCAGTAAATTTTGCCGAAGATAGACACCAATAGCATGCAAATGTGGAAATGCTTGAGCATGGAGAGTATAATGAGTTACATGAGTTGGTTCTTTTCCTACTTTTTGTATAAACTGAGTTTAAAAAATTTTCTCAATATTATTACCACAGTCATTACATATTAATAATAGTCAATGATAACATTGTAAATTTTATTACACTTACATGTACATCTTCTGGTGTTAATTTACACATTGAATTTCTTTTCAACATCATTGTAATAACATCTAATACTGCATCATCTAACTTACTTTGTAGTGCCTTTACAAGATCTTCTTTTATATCCAATCCTGTAATATATTACAGTGAAGACTTAAAATTTGTTGTTTTTTTTTTATAATTTACTCTTTACTTTTAATAATTTGTGGAGGCAAAGTTACAAGTAACTTACCAACTTCACTTATACCATGCACATGTAGTGCTATACAATGTCGAGGCTTTGGTGTTGATATTTTATTAGAAATATATGAAGCAGAATCATGAAATTGATCTTTTTCTGAAAGTCCCGAACTCAATCTTGGTCGAAATTCCTGCAACTTTAATTAATATAATTAAACTTAATAATTCTATTTCTGAATTTTATAAAATCAGAAATAGAATTATAACATTATGTCAAATGCAACATTATAAAGAGAAAAAAATATAAGAAATATATTTTTCAAATTGTGTTACAAATGTATTTTAAATGACACAAAAAATTTTATTAGCTAGATTAATTATTACAAAATGTATGTAAAAAAGTAAAAATCCCTGAGTTCAAAAAAGTAAAAATCTTGAGGGGTCAGTTTTTGACCAAAAACTGACCCCTCAAGATTTTTACTTTTTTGAACTCAGGGATTTTTACTTTTTTACATACATTTTGTAATAATTAATCTAGCTAATAAAATTTTTTGTGTCATTTAAAATACATTTGTAACACAATTTGAAAAATATATTTCTTATATTTTTTTCTCTTTATAATGTTGCATTTGACATAATGTTATAATTCTATTTCTGATTTTATAAAATTCAGAAATAGAATTATTAAGTTTAATTATATTAATTAAAGTTGCAGGAATTTCGACCAAGATTGAGTTCGGGACTTTCAGAAAAAGATCAATTTCATGATTCTGCTTCATATATTTCTAATAAAATATCAACACCAAAGCCTCGACATTGTATAGCACTACATGTGCATGGTATAAGTGAAGTTGGTAAGTTACTTGTAACTTTGCCTCCACAAATTATTAAAAGTAAAGAGTAAATTATAAAAAAAAAACAACAAATTTTAAGTCTTCACTGTAATATATTACAGGATTGGATATAAAAGAAGATCTTGTAAAGGCACTACAAAGTAAGTTAGATGATGCAGTATTAGATGTTATTACAATGATGTTGAAAAGAAATTCAATGTGTAAATTAACACCAGAAGATGTACATGTAAGTGTAATAAAATTTACAATGTTATCATTGACTATTATTAATATGTAATGACTGTGGTAATAATATTGAGAAAATTTTTTAAACTCAGTTTATACAAAAAGTAGGAAAAGAACCAACTCATGTAACTCATTATACTCTCCATGCTCAAGCATTTCCACATTTGCATGCTATTGGTGTCTATCTTCGGCAAAATTTACTGCACTTTCTTCATACTCCAAAATATAAAGATAATAAACCAGAACATCATTTTCGTGTAAGTAAAGAAATTTAATATTTAAATTAAATATAAATAATGTTAAAATTACTTTTAAAAATAAACATTCACTGCCAAATTTGAAATGAACATAATTTTATACTTTTTAAATCACACAGTTTGAAAAATTTAGGAATTATCACACCAGAATATATTTGAAAGAGTGTGAGAAAATAAATCATGTAAAATTGTCATTTTGCAGAATGCATTTCAGATCAAGACCCCTCTTCAGCTGCTGACAAATCTATTAAAACACTGGTACTGAGTAAAGTCAGAAAGAAATAAATAATGTTAGTATAATATTAGCACTTGAAAAAGTAATATAGAATGCCATATGCTGAGTATTAAAAGTAAGATTTTAAAAAATAAAACTTAAAAGAAATTATTTGGGAGAATGCCAAAATAGATTGTAAATTGAAATGTAGTCTAAAACCTTTCAAAAATACAGATTAAGATTAAAAAGGGGTTAAAATTATAAAGTAAAACATTAAATAACTAAAATAATTTTTACCTATGTAAAATATTGCCAACTTTAAAAAATGTTTATAAAAATTAAAACAGGTATTATGAAATGATGTAAAATTATTGTAAAGCTGTAAGACAGTAAACATTTAAAAAAAATTAAAACCAACATTAAATCTACCAGTATAAATTATTCAGTTTAATAAATAATTATATAAATAAAATAAAATTAATAATATAAAATGAAAATAAAAGATTAAAAATGAAAAATATGCTTTAAAAAATTATTTGAAAAAATAAAATTAAGTGTAAAAGTTATAAAAAGGGTTATACAGTATAAAAACACACTGTGTGACTTTTTCTGTACTTTCATTAATGCAAGAAAAGCCAAAATATTGTGTAACAGTGTTAAATAATGGTTTTCTTTAATGGACTCTTACATTTATATTAACACATGCTGCCAGATCTTGCTCAAAATTTATCCATTGTTTAAACTTATTTTAGTTTTCTAAAATTCCTAATTTAAAAAAAAATTACTAAAAATTTTTAATAATTTCTTAAAAAGTTTAAAATTGGTGTTTTGTTCAATTTTTTTGGTTTGTTTATTTTTAAATTATTTTAAATCCTATATTATGTTCATATGTTCATTGTAACAAATTGTAAAACTGAAAATGGTTTAAATAAATGTTTTTTTCATAAATAGAATAGTTTACCTTAACAAGCAGTGTTGAAGATCCATTTTTAATAATATTTTAAAATTTTATTCATGAATTAAATTTACTTAAATTGAAAAGTTGATCAATGACTAATAAATTTTTTATTGTGATGAATATTACTGTACTTGAAAAATGAAACTAGATAATTTTTACATAAATAAAGCATAAATTTAAATTTTTTATTTCAATTGTAGCCTTATCCTGATGATCTGTCGCAAACATCATTTAGTGATGATGATGTTTTTTTACATTTTCTTTATCAAAGTTCAGGTGTGTCAGGAAACAAAGGTAACTATATTTATTTCAAATATTTTTTTAATTTGTTAGTTATATATATTATTTCATATATAAGAATTTTAACCATTATATATTTTCAGTAATATCTGTATGTTATAGGACATATATTTATTTTAATATTGATATATTTAACAAATATTCAAGCATAGCTATAAAGCAGTATACAAAATATATTTTATACTTTAATGCACTTATTATAATGTAATTTATCTAAGCTTCTATCTCCATAATATTTATTTTTTAACTATTGAAATTAATGCTGACTATTGTGGATAGTGAAGNAAAGCAAAGTGATGTTTGATTTAAATTAAATGTAAGAATGATTTTAAAAAATTATGAACTCAGTCACCACTTACTAGTATGTTATGCTATAATCAAACATACAAAACAAATTTACTTTAGAAGTATATAAATTATTAAATATATAACCTAACACATTCATACGTTACTATACTATCTTTACACTATTACTAATCTATCACAATTTGTACAAAATAATTTACATAAGACCAATTTTGTTTCTAATATCAATAAAAGAGAATTCAAGTACAAACATCTTTAACTAAATTCATCATCACTAAATGATGTTTGCGACAGATCATCAGGATAAGGCTACAATTGAAATAAAAAATTTAAATTTATGCTTTATTTATGTAAAAATTATCTAGTTTCATTTTTCAAGTACAGTAATATTCATCACAATAAAAAATTTATTAGTCATTGATCAACTTTTCAATTTAAGTAAATTTAATTCATGAATAAAATTTTAAAATATTATTAAAAATGGATCTTCAACACTGCTTGTTAAGGTAAACTATTCTATTTATGAAAAAAACATTTATTTAAACCATTTTCAGTTTTACAATTTGTTACAATGAACATATGAACATAATATAGGATTTAAAATAATTTAAAAATAAACAAACCAAAAAAATTGAACAAAACACCAATTTTAAACTTTTTAAGAAATTATTAAAAATTTTTAGTAATTTTTTTTTAAATTAGGAATTTTAGAAAACTAAAATAAGTTTAAACAATGGATAAATTTTGAGCAAGATCTGGCAGCATGTGTTAATATAAATGTAAGAGTCCATTAAAGAAAACCATTATTTAACACTGTTACACAATATTTTGGCTTTTCTTGCATTAATGAAAGTACAGAAAAAGTCNATTAAAAAATATTTTAAGTATAAATGATATTAAGTTTTAAATATGATGGTTGGAACTTTAATATGAGCCCAGTTGAAATATATAAGATAGAATAAATACAGAACCTTAAGCAGTTCACAAGCCTTAAATATAGTCACCAGCATTGTTGACTACTCATTGTCATTGATATGGAAGTCAGTCATTAGTTTGCATGACCACCATTTGCCCAGCTTTGAAGTGCTACTAATATGAAAAACTGAAATTATTTGGTTTTGAATGTTGATATATATGAAATAATCCACAGCTATGCAATCCAATAGTTTAAAAAAGTTGATTCTGACTTTAAAATAAAAATGAAGATAACATCGACCAAAGTCTATATCATCATCATAGGTTATAGCTTTTCTGCATTTTTATTTTTTGGTCACATGAAAAGTATCCAATTTGTAATTTTTAATACTTATATTGAACCAAATTAATAGATTTTCTAAAATACCCAAACTTATCAACTTTTCTTCAAGGACAGATCCAATGAAACATCAAATTATCCATAAACTGGCAATATTTTCAATGTGACACCACTAGTATCCTATATTGTTTACATCAGGGATGGCCAACCTATAGTGCATTCACCAAAAGTGGTGCATTACATGATTAGAAGTGGCAGACTGAACCCAAGTGAGAAATTAAAAAAAAAATTTTCTCTTGGGTTCAGTGCGTACACTTGAAATACACGTTCAAAATGAAAAAAATTATTTTAAATACTTTAAAATTTGTATATATATTTATATATATAACAAAATTAGCCTACAATTGAATTCTAGAGTGCACATTTATTATACTTGTATTACACTTGTTTAACCTTGAAGCAACAGGCATTGACAAATCCTGACATGCATCACAAGTTAATCCATTTTACAGCTGACTCTCATGTCATAACATTTGATGGACTTCTAATTCAATGTGTGTGAACAATTCTGTGTTTTCAAACTTACATGTTTTTATTAACAGTTCTTTAATTAAGTTTAAGGTAAGATTTCTGTTTTCATGAAGACTTAATATAGTTCTGTAAATTTAAAATAATTTTTTTATTTTAAATGTGTATGTCAAGTTCTTGCTCCTCTAATTTGCTGATTATCGAAACCTAGAATTAATTAGTGTATTTGTATGTGTGTGTTTTTTATGTTTTTTTTTTTTTAATACAATACCTTCCCTTTTTATTTACATATAATAGGTGTATTTAACTGACCATCAGCAAAATTTTCTTAATAGTGATGTTTGGGTTGTGTGTGTGATTGCCAGCTGATCAACTGTTTTATAGCAGGAAGCAATCTCATATTTCATCAGACATAATATATTACAAAAGAGAGAAGAAAACTTTCTATGTGTATATGTATATACAAGGTATATCAGAATGATGTTTTAAAAATTTGAGGGATTGTAGAAAATGAAATTTTGAACATTTTGGTATAAGAAACCTATAGCCTGAAATGTGATATAAAGTTTCTACAGCACTTTATACATTGTATACAGTTGGTATGCTGAATGGAACAGCAGAATACAGTATTTATGACAAGTTTTATTGGCAAAACAGTAGAGTACAATCAAACTGTACATCGAATCAGTGGCTGCACTAATTTAGAGTAAATGTTCAATGTGACGACTACCAACTTCATTTCATAATGTGCAACGATGAACCATGTTTTTTCGACTCTCTGTAAGATGCCATGCTCTCCTCTGAAGGACGACAAGCACTAAGTACACAACGTTCTGTACACAGGCTCAGTTAGACCACTGTAGTTGTGTGTTTACAGTCTTCCATCTGCAGCAATAATATGACGTCAATGGACAGAAGGGTAGCTATCAAAGTGAAGGGCAGTCAAGCACTTCCTACCACTGTAGACACTTTAGTTCAAATTTCCAGCTCTAGGTTCCGTATATCAAAATGTTCAAAATTGCATCCTCTACAATCCTCCAAAGTTTTAAAACGTCATTCTGATACACCCTGTATATAGACATNGTGGTGACTCAAGTCATAGTTCATTCAGCATTCGACCAATCATGTGGTGGTTGGCATTATTGGTAGCACGAAATCGTGCATGGTGACAGCTGACCGCTACTGTGGGCGGGCAAATTCAAATGCATTAGCAGGCCACAAAGTGGACCGCGGGCCTGGTTTGGGCAGTCTTGATATAAGACGAGGTGTGGCTTTAAAGATCAATATAAAGAAAATTAGATTTATTAATACAATTCTAATTTTGTTTCATTTATTCACAAATAAAATATCAAATGCATGTAAACGCACACATTGTCTCGCAAAAATTACTGGCATTTTAAACTTTCAGAAAAAATCTCGTAAAATTGACAACATAATTTGTTCATGTAAAGCTGGACAATCGGAAACCTGTTTTTGCCAATTCTTAACAGTTGAATCCATTCTCTGTTGATTACACTTATGAGTTTCTCTGAATTCTGATTTCTGAATAATCTGAGAATGGATTAAAACTTATATTGGGCTCATGTGTGATTTTGAAATTTCAATCTGGAATTCAATTCAAAAGCTTTGCTTTCCTATTGCTATTCATCTTTACTCATGACAATATACAAGAACAATTCAAATGACCCAGATAAAATACTTATGTTTTTAAATACAAGAGAATAAGCATCCAGTAAAAAATGCGAATACACGGTTCACAAAAATTATTTGCAAAAACGTAAAGAATCTTACGCTCATGTGTATAGGACAACCTAGGAATTTGAAGCTGTGATAAATCACTAAACACTTTGCCTTATATGCCAGTAAATACAGTATATGATTTTTAAACTTATAGAACTGTATTAAGCCTTCATGAAAACAGGAATCTTATATTAAACTTATAGAACTGTTTTTGAATGTTCATAATTTTTAAAATTATAAAATAATTTAAATAAATTATTTAATAATAATCTTTACTTTTGGAATAATTTTTTAGTCAATTACCTATTTCTTTGCAAAAGAAAATGAGCAGAAGAAAAGCAGAAGGTGATAGTAAGCACCAGTTTAATGAACTGTGAGAAACTGAGTTCTTATTTATTGTGGATCCTTCAGGAAAATCATTGTGCACTGTTAATGAAAGCACTCTCTCAGATAATAGAAGACTATCTTAACAGACACTATAGAAAACATCAAACTGAATTAGAAGATAAACTGAAGTTAGTTCTTGGGTCTGAGTTATGAAAAAAATATGTAGTTAAGAAAAAGGAAGAAATAAAAAAAATAATAAAATGTAAATGTGGTAATACTAGAGATATCTTATGAAATAGCCTTTGTATTGGATAAAAAAACACAAGCTTTTCTCTGATGGAGAGAAAATTGTTAAGCCCTGTCTCACAAAATTTGACATGGTTCATTTTCATAATATAAATAATAAAACATTTACCTCCTAGTGAAATTACATCTTCTCCTTTATGATATTCTGCTTGAAGACACTGCACTTCATGTAACCTATTTAGTTAAAAAATTAATAAAATAAAATTATATACAAAAAACAGTTTTAGCTTGCAAGAAATACTAAATATCAATATATTAATACAATATACTTAACTTTAATAAACAATAAAATAACTTTAATTAATCAAAATCTTCAATATCTAAAACTCAAATATCTAAAAAATTTTCATAACTTTTTCACATTAGAAAATGACAACATACAAAACGGAAAAAAATTGAATAAAAGTAAAAAGTTATTAAAATAATTTTTAAAATCTTCAATAATTTTAATTCAATAAAATCATTAATATTCAATGATATAAAAATATTAATTTCTTATAAAAGATTTTTATTAAAATATTCTAAATCTAGTTGCAAGAATAAATAGTCAGAATACTTTTTAATTATTATATATCAAAAACAAGGCAAGCTAACAAATCTAATAATTTTTTAGTTCTTTTCAAAAATCCACTTTTTAAAACAATTGAAAAATATAATATAAGCTTAAACTTTTCATTGGGTTAAAAATAATGCTTTTGAATCTTATACTTTATTTTCAGTTACATAGGATGTTTTATTGTAATAGATAATATAGGGGAAGTGCAGGTAGCCTTGGACATTTAAATAAAACACAAAAAATATTAAATACAAAAATGAAACATTTATTTTTAAACTCGAAATAAATTTTAAAACTTCTTTAATCATATTAGTAAAAAAACAGAAACATTTCTTAATCATTTAAATAATTATACAAAAATTTTAGCTTTCAATTTTGGCAATGGAAAAGATGGCAGGTGGCCCCAGATACTTATTAATAATGGCCTAAGTGTTTTTAGCCTTGCAAATGTCACAATAAGAATAAATTTATAATGGATTGATGTCAACGCAAGCTTTGTGAGCATAATCTTTACATTATGGCATTGAATTCAGTCTTCTTCAAAAGTTTCCCTGCAAATGATGCATTCTGTTTCTTGATCACAAACTTCATTGAAAAGACTGAAAATTTAGTTTTGTGTTTAGTTTTTTTACCTTTTAAAGCTTTCCTTTTCTTTTCTATGTTATTTTAAATGATGTCAAAATCTCTTTTTTTTTTTTTTTTTTTGTGTTTTCTGTGAGCATGACACAAGATGCTTTTTAGACAAATTAAGAAGAGATGACAATTCTTTCAACAAATCAGTTGTGCTAGTTGAAGGTGCTGGTTCAGAAATAGGCTCTGTGACATGGTTGGTAGATGGCTGATTGATATTATTTTCTGTCAAGGAAGGTTCATACCTTAATGTTGATCAACCAAATCTCTGAAAAATCATGATTAAAAAGATAAATTCCTGTGCACTTAAATCCATTTTGGGTTATTTTGAGCCTAGCTGCTTTAGCAAAGGAAAAATCTACAAGTGCAGTAATGAAATAATCAGTAATTCTAGCCCCAGGATTTCATCTCATCATACACATTTGTCGAAGCAATGCAAATTTAAAAAGCGTTAAAAATGTCCTATTGAGAAGTTGCAGCTTGCACATAATGTGGTGGAGTACTCAGCATACAAATGTGATTCTAATGAGCATACTCTATGACTGTCAACTCTTTGTGACTAGCATGCCCATCTAAGATTAAGAGTACAGGATTTTTGTTCATATGTTGTTTGAAATGGTGTAATCACTGCAAAAATATGTTGCCAATCATCTACCCCTTTCCTGTGGAATTGTGATACTCTCTGGTAAAGTTCCAATTGTCAAACAACCACCTTTGTCCAATAACTTGTTTGGTGCTCACATCATTACTAATTTGCATTTGTTTGTATGCATTATGGAACACTTTTAGATATACTGCTTTATATTTGATATGTGCTTGATTGCAAGTGTCTGACTACCCATACTTTCTTTAAGTAGATAGTATGCAACACAAAACAAATTGACCAAAAATTGACTATAAGCATGATAAAAAATTAGAATCTTATAGGAGTGTATTTTTCAGAATGATACAACAAACATAAAATTACTGTTCTGTAATAAAGAAGATATAATTTATAATACTTGTTTTCAAACTATATGTTAACTCCTTTTGAAAAATCATTCACAATGAAGAACTTTGAATATTCATTTAGAATAAACTTTTTTTGTAACATTCTGAGTACAATTAATACTGTGAAAATCTGACTCTCTTATGAGAATTTTATTAAATACGGAACAAAGTTGTATATTTCTTTCATCATTTCCATTATTTCTCCCGTTCTCACCCCGTTGCCCGAGGAATAGACAATGAACTGCGTAGTTACTGGAGATGACCTTCTTGACGGACAAAGTCGTCCAAGGCGACCGCGGAAGAACTCCCCTCTCCCCAGGAGACTACTCTATTACAAGGTGTTTGCGGTATAACCAATTAACGAAAACAAACATGTGTTCCTGTGTGGAGAGTGGACAAAAAGTCACCTACTAGGGTCAACCGTACGGTGAGAAACATAACCAAAAATGGTAAGTCATCTCCCCAGGTGATGACACATTTAATATTAATTGGTCTAGAGATGTCTGCATTGTTGTCACCCATGACGGTGGAGACTGTCATAAATCGGGAGAACTGTCAAAATATGTCAACGGAGTCCCCGAGATTTCCCACTCTAAAAAAGTATAAAAGGGGAACAATCCGAGGACTCGGGGCGATCATCGGAAAGAAGACTACCAGTGCCTACTCTACTCTGGGAGGACCTCGAGGTTTCTGATCGCTGATCTAAAAGAGGTAAAGATTTAGATTATTTTTCTTCCTTCTCTCTCGATATACTCGAGACTTAGAAATTATTCGTCTCTCGATCTACCTGAGACTTAGAAAGTAGTCTCTCTATATGTACATGGGATTTAGAATTATTGGATCGAGGACCTTCGGCGGTCCCACTAACGGGATAGATGGACGTCGGTTGTCCGATACTGTCGCGACACGGAGATATTATCATTACTATTTAATTATTTTTGTTTAACCTTAATGTATTCTCATGTATTTGTATTATTTGTTTTATAATTAAATGTGTTATTCTTAAATTCTATGACTATCTTTGTATACTGCCGACACCTCATCGCGGCTTCATTATGCCTCCCACTCCTTTTTGCCCTCCTACAGCCATTCTCTGACAGCCAAGCCGGTAAGTGGGGAAAAGCTCTCCGCTTCAGCCCCCTCGGTTCCACAATACTTATTTGAAAAACTATCATCATTATGTCTAAGAAAAAGTCTTTTTTTATGAATTGATATGAAGTAGAAATAATATATCCTCTCAACTCCCAATAATATAGAGAAACCTTTTTAAAGCTTATAATATCTCTAAAGAGATTCTATAAATTCCTACACAACTTTTGAATAAGTTGTGTAGGAATGTTTAACTACTGGAATGTTTAATTGAAACATGAAATAAAAATATTTACTTATTGAAATGTTTACAAACAGGTAACTATTTTTAAATTTTTAATTTAAAATTTTTATTTTGTAAATAAAAATAGTTTTTAGATTTGATTTTTTCAATATTTATTTCTTAAAAGAAAAAGTAAATCATTTACACTATTAAAACATTAAAAATTATGAGAATGAAATTATTTCTTTTTGTTCAGTATTCTAATAAAACCATTATATTTGAAATAAATTATCAATATTAGGAACATTTTAAGATAAACAGAGAAACAAATAGTAAAATCAATACATTAAGATAAATAACACATAAGAATAGAAAGAACAATATCTTACTGAAATCACTAATAAGTAATTATGATTGCCAAAATTTTTAATAAATGAATTTTTTCATTTTCAATTATCAAAAAGTTTCAGTAAACTAAACTAATAAATTGTTTAATGACTAAAGGTAAATTTATTACAAATAGAACATTAATATGTTATTTAAAATATCACAAAGTAAATTATTATATAAATAATATTCATATCTAGATTGCAATTTTATTTTCAACCCATGCTTTATATTAAACTTGTCTTTTTAGTAAGCAAATATAAGGTGATTTAATTAAAAATCACTCTTTTACAATAAATAAACAAGTTTGATTTCTTATTTAAAGAAATTATTGTAAACATTATAGCAGCAGAACAGTAATATTTTGTCACCGTAATCTTTAAAATAAATGAACCAGTTTGAATTACATGTGATACAATTTAATATAAAAATTTATTATAGAATCTGAAAAAAAAAGTTTATTTTCTAAAAATATTTTATTAATATTAATTCATATTTTACAATATATAAAACTAATTTAAATGAATATTTTTTGTGTTCAAAATGAAACTAATTAATAAGAATAAAAAATAATGTTAATTTTTCTTTTAGAAATCTGTTCATCAATGATTTATACTAACCTCAAATAAAATACAGACCCAGATCTTTCTTGATAAACAAACATATTATTTCTATTATTTACAGAGAAAGTATTTAAGACAGTTCTCAAGGCTTGAATTCCTACAAATTTGCAAAAAGTTCTGATTTAAAATATTTTTCATTATTATAAATAGTTATGCAATAAAATTCTATTAGACATATTCACATAACATATATATATTTTCTTCTGTCAGAAATCCAACTTAATATTACAATATTAAAAACTATAAAAAGATTCACTTGATTTACAAGACTTAACTAGTATAATTAACTTTCTTCAGGCATGATTTTCACATTATTTAACATTCCACTCTTGCCCATTCACATAATTGCACTCCTGATTGGTTCATTCATTATTTAATATAATCCATTAAAATTTATTGATATAAATTTGAATTTTGTAGACTTTCCTTTTGAAATATCCCATTATAGAACAACTAGCTATAAATCTAAAGCAGGTGTCAGGAGAAAGTTGAAAATGTTCTTGATTCTTTTAATTTTTGTTAATGAATGAAACTTATGTTTTTTGTGGCCTATTCACATTATTTTTTAACACATTCAGTACATCTGACATTCTGGTGTGTCATACTCAACTTTTCATAATTTGCCAAGTGTACTGCTGGAGTTTCACACTTCTATTTTATATTACAATTTTTCTCATTGGCAAAATAGTGTTTGGTGTATTGATCGATACATGGCACATCAGATATGTCTGATTTTTACCAACATGAAAAAATTTTAGATTTTTTGATTATTTGAATGAAGGAAAGAATAATAAAAATTAACCTTTTTTTTATAATAAAGATGAACTACACTTCATGCCAACTTTTAAATATAATAACTACACTTGAATGTTGTGGCGTTACCAATAGCAACTTTTAGAGTATAAGGGTGTTCACTAGTACTTTTGGTAGCATAAAGTTACCATCATCAGGCAAATATCGAATACAACTGCTATCAAATTTTAAGATTTCGCTAGCAAACATCCTTATACTCTAAAAGTTGCTATTGGTAATGCCACAACACTCAAGTATAGTTATTATAAACTTTTTTTTATTGAAAATAGAGAAAAAAATGTTGAATCAACTTCCTGCTAAAGAATTACAGTGAACATAACTTGATCAAAATAATCAACACCTAATCCGTTGCCGAGGGAGTTTATTTAAAAAACGAACGTTTTCGATCTACTTCATAGATCATCTTCAAGTTGAAAAAAACGAATATGGAATAACCACAAAGAATAGAACATCAAATTTAAAATTCAAAAATATCGACAACTGAGTAATTAAGTAAAATAATTAAAGTGTAAAATACCAATTGTAAAGATAAATAACATACAACAATAAATAAGTAATAGTCGTTAACAGTTAACAAAAATTATAAATGCTCTCATAACGTGAATTGCGAATCAAGTCGTCATTCATAAGCCATTTGTAAGTCTTTTAATAGCAAACTTCCATGCTGAGGGTAGGCCCTCCGCATCTCTGGCGTTTATACATCTATCATCAAGTTTGCTTCTGTATATTTCCATTTTTTTGGCTGTCTTTGCTAAAGTTGGAGAGTGTATTTGCTTAATGATTTCAGCTTCTTCCCATCCAACTACGGAACCTTGGGCTTGAGCCATCTGGGCCAGCACAGTTGCGTTTGATTTTTTTCTAACATCATATTTATGCTCTCTGACCCTTACCCCCAATTTCCTCGTTTTAACTCCTATGTACTCCCTTTTTAATCCTAATTGTTGGTTCTCGTACGGGATCTTATAAACTCCTGCCTTATCTTCTTTCTTAATATCCCCTTTATCGTTTCTTAGAATTTTAAATAAATTAGGAGCTCGTTTTAAAATCACCGTTGATTCTTTTATGTCCGCAATCTCCTTCATAACGCTTCTTACATTTTTGTTGTAGGTGAATTTTATGTATTTACTAGGTCTTTGTTTAGAGACCTTTGTATCCTTTATCTCAAAGTTTCTAACAATGCCGGCAATTATGTTTTTCCTGTAGCCTAAGGATTCTGCTATCCGTTTAATCCTGTCGATTTCTTTGTCTCTGTCCATAATATTGCCGCAGTATAAAAAGGCCCTTCTAACTAGGGCACGAAATGCAGCCAATTTATAACGAAA